CCTGAAAAATGCAAGGAAGGGAAGTCGTGTTGGGAGATGGGGCTCCACTGATGCCTGAAGAGGTAGGGCAAGACCCAGCCACTCTGTTGATCTTGACAAGGCAGCAAATATCAGTCCTCACCCATAGCTACCCCTGCAGTTCCAGAGCATTTTTCTATTCTTAAAATTTTATACTCTCCATTCCTACTGTGATTTAAAAGATCTTTTCAGGATCCATTGGACAGGACTAGCAACAAATGTGAAATGTAAGTTTAAAAATAAAAATCACAAGTGACCCTTAACTATGGCATACCATCCTCCCACTGCATCCTCTTTTAGCTGTACACAGGAAACCTGCTCACTGTGGAAAGAATCTGCTGCTAACGTTTCATTGTGTAGCCTGCAGCAGGACGCAGCTAAGCAACCCGCATCTCAATGTTTGCATTCAACTTCCAGTGACGCAGGAATGAAGACTTGTTTTTCAGACCAACAGCAGAATAACTGACCTGACGTTCCAGTGACGGCACTGCTATTACTCTGGGGTCGGTCCAAGTCTATCAACAGCTCATCAGACTCATTCTCGCTACCATTAGCCTTCTCATGCTCCTTCTCAGTAAGGTCAAGAGCAACAATAGGCCCTCGAATTGCCTCCTTCGAGACATAGCAGCATGCCAGGCCTACTTCTTGCTCTAACGCAGTCCGGGTTAAGTAGCTTGAGTCAATTAGTCGAAGGTCACAGTATTTCAAGGACCTAGAAAACCCAACCCAAGAAAAAAGGAAGTTTTGTTTTCTCTGACGTTGAAGAATACTCCCTATCTTCAGTTGCTTCTTAAATATTCATGAATAATTTTATTAGCCAGCAAATATAAAATTCTTTTAAAATATTCAGCAAAGAATTTATGCTCCCTGGTACTTTGCACAGACATTCAACTGACCTGCAGTACTGTACTTTTCACAAAGTACCTGTACTTTTCACAAACTGCACTTCCCAAATTTTTAAACCTTTCCAAATAAAGTCTCCGAAAACATATTTCTTTTTTTTTTTTTTTTCTTTTTTTGGTGAAAAAATAGCCAGATGGTATCAAACCACTTCTCCATCCCACAACTTATCTAAATATGTTAGATAACAAGCAGGAATAATAACAGCACCTGGGGAAAGTTTCTCCCAGAGGGTCTTTGCCAGTTAGAATAACAATGCAAGGTAGACCTTCCAAATCCTGATAGGTGCGAGGAATCCAGTCATCCTGATCATTGCCCCTCCAAGCCTGCGAACAGAGAAAATTCTAGTCACTTCTAAATGACATCTTCTAAACCTTCACATGTTGCTTTTTGTGGAGCTTTTTTGTAGTTCCTGCTTTTTCTTTGTTTACAGGGTTTGCTTACTCAATAGCCAAGAGGAAGGAGATCTTAGATACAGGCATGCATTTTTGCTGGTAGCCAACTGTTAGCCAAGCACTAAATGCAAAGTGAAAGGATGTATAGGATATGTTATTCAGTGCTGGAAACATACATCTGGTATGGTATTAGTGCAGTCTGTCAGAGAATAGTGCAGTTGATGCCTTCAATTTCAAGCTGGCACAGATAAAAGTTCTTTGAAATTAATACAGGAGTAAAATAAAACTTTCAAGTGGAACGTGAAAATGATTCAATGAACCTTGCTTAATTACTCTATGTAATGGAAGATTATATGAAAGAAAAACATCTTCCCTTTCACTGGAGGTAATCCCATGAGAAAGAACTCCTTACCTAGAGTCTACCAAGGCCCAAGACCACAAAATGGCACCATTTTCCCTTAGCATTGGAAAGGCTGGTAGCATCAGTCCCATGTCCAACCTTCAGACCCCTTGGTTTAGCAGAGCTACTGACCCTGGATGAGTCTATGTGTGTTCTCTGTGTTGGATGCAGCCTCCTAAAAATATTGCTCTATCTTGAGCAACAGTATCTTTCTTGCTATGTTGCACAGTGCCCAGACTTTCAGATGACAAAGGCAGTTTTTGATTAAGACAGGCACGGGCACCCTACAGCAACTGTTAAAAGGAAAGGAAACAAGCTATTCTATCTCTGCGAACACCAAAATTGTATAATAAAGCTGAAATGCAAAAATGCAGGTTTCTATCCAGCCATTCCTGTGAACAGGTACTGCCAGGAAAAACACAGCTGCTTAGATCACTGACCACTCAAGACAGAAGATCAGTAGAGAAGCTCTTTCAATATAACCCAGAGACTTTATGTTTCCATTCTGATCAGACATTAAGATCTCTCTAGACAAGGAAATTAAGCCCTAGTGGTTACAGAATCATCAAATATTTGAGCTACAGCATATCACTCTGCTGGAAAAAGTTTTTCCTTTTTTTCTTACTAATAATGGGCAAAATCAATTCTGGAGAAGACTCTTATCTAGCTCAGGCACAGAATCTACTTTGCCAGGTCATAAGAGAAACCCTAACCACTCAAACTGCCCATTAAAAATAATATGTATGATATCTTTCTCACACAGATGTGCAAGACAACAAGACACAGCTGTCTTGACAGCACAAGAGTTATGCAGCCTTTGTGGAAAACACACCTTGCATGAAGAACCCTATCCTGAATTCACTCTTGGTTCTTCTAGCCTCAACCTGTACCCTTAACGTGTTGTCTCCTTACCCTTCCTTTTCTCCAGAAAGGCCATGTTTTATAAGTAATCTTCTCAGCCAAATGAAAGGGATTGAAAGGAGTATTCACTAGCAGATTAATGGCTCAGTGTGTCATGTGACCTTTTGAAAATTTCCACTGAAAATAACTCATTATTTTTATCAAGAACATGCTTGCAGTAATACTCTCCTTTTCTGCTATGGTTCTATTCTGTTTCCCCAGTCCCGATGTCTTTCTCCTGCTGGTTTCAGCATTCTCTGTATAACATGTTCACAAAAAGAAATCATTTTCCCTACTCTCTAACAACATCTACTGGCTCAGAAAACAGCCTTAGCAGCAGAGAGAGATTTTCTAACTCAGCAAAGTTAGTCTAGCTGTGTGTTACCCTGCCTCTCCAACAATGGAAGTTTCTGCAAAAGTGCATGGATAGACAATTAAATAGGGGAATACAGGTACAAAGCTGATTTTCTTTCTGCTAGTCTAAGGACTTAAAAAGAAGCCTGAGTGTCTGGGACTTTGAGCTGTAAACTTGCATACAGAAGATATGTTTCTTGATCGTCTTACTCATGAGGGACAGAGAGCTGCAGCCCTCTGGGGTCCTCTCTTCTGAATGCCTCCCAAATGGTTTGATTCTTGTTACACTTAAAGGGTATGACATGACATTATGCCTGGTCAACAAAATAGTTATTTAAATTGTTTTCCATCCCTTCTTTCCTTCTGTACCTCTGGGTGTATCACCTCCCTTGAAGACTGGCTCCCAGATGGAGGAGGAATGGACTGTCTGGCTGGCCAGAGGGGTTGTCTGACAGAGAAGGGAGCAGTCCAGCTCCCAGCACTGCAGAGACAGCTGCCCAACCTCCCTGCCCTGCTGTAGCACCACACACACTGCTAAAGCCCTCTTAGGGAAAGGCTAAGTTAACTGAAACTTTTCAACTGGGTCACTAACAGCTGTAACTTTTCCCTCCCTGCCCCTGCAAAAGATCACGATGAAGTCTCATCCTCACTGCAACCTGTTATTGATGGAATCAGCATTTTGAGCCTCAGCCTCACCAGAACACACTTACTAGCCCCACATTGTCCCCCTTGGCCAAAAATATGGCCTGGGTGCTCACAGTAAAAGCAGGCAGCAATGAGTTCCCCACTTGCTCTAGTCCCCCAGCTTCAGTCCTCCATCAGGAGAAAAGTCAAGCAGCACAGAGACTAAATCAAAACTGTCTGCAATAAACTGGACCCAATGGGAGCATGCCTGATGAATTTTATAATGGGAATCAGTTGCCCAAACATATGTTCACACCATTTCAGATACCCCGTGTTATCCCAGGCACCAGACTAGCAGGTATGGCAGCACAGCACAAAACTCACAGGTGACCTTCATCATTCTGGAGTGCTGCTAGGTAACTCACCTAAAAAGACACTAACAGGCTTATTTTTGGGCAACTGAATTCCTCTCGTCACTCCCTTTATATGCATGCTTCAGAATTGAGTGGAGCTTTTTCTAGTCACCTGCAAGTAAAGAAACAAGTCCAGAATCCTACAACTTTGTTTACTCCAAAGAAGCATCTTGTGTATTCTGGGAGAGAGGAATAAGAAGATTTAGAAGTTTTTTCATTCTCTGCCTGATCAAATTCCTCTATTCCAGATCGATGGCTACATAGATATTCACCTAGAACAGCTTCACACTCTATCCTGTTCTGCTCTAATGGCCTCACAGGCTGCTCCGGCAATGTGTAAGGGCTGGAGTGTAAGGGCTATAAGTTGCAGTGTAAGGGCTGCAACTCTACACAAAAAGCCTAGAGATGCCCTCACAGGACTCACAGTCCAGAATGATTTAAGGTTGGAATTAATACCTAGCAAACAAACAAAAACCCAGCAGCACAGAGCTGCTGCTCACATGTCATTTTCTCCTTCATGACTACTACTTTCCTCTCTTCCCTCTCCTGCCGCAGACAAGGTTTGAGAAGCAGAAGCGGTAGCTTCTTTAAAGGACATTTTGTCTGCTTTTGTTTGTAGGCAAGTGGTTTAAGAAAGGCTCACAAAATTGATTCCTTTTCTGCATGGATTTGAATACACTGCATAACTCATAGCAGAAACAGAAAATTAATGGCTGTGTAAGACTTAGAGCAAGGATCAGGACAGATAACCAGCACTACTTTCAGGCTGGTACCTAAGGCAGGCAATCCATTTCCCTTGGTTTAATGTAGTGAGGTTAATTCAGGAAGTGGGTTTGGCTAGTTGGACCATGCTCTTACAAATCCATGCAAAAGTTTAGCCTGATGCATATTTGCTGGGCAGAAGAGGCTTTTCAGCATGCAGTGGTTTGAGAAAAGAAGTCTATGACAAACAGCATGCTTTACCAGTTATCAGCAGGGCAGAAGATGTATGGACAGAGCAGACAACAGATACGCTAGACAGACAGATAAGTTGGTGAAAAGAATTAGTTTGCCTAAGGAAACCTGAACTCTGCTTTCAGAGATGAACCCTATCTGACTCATGCTGATAATTCAACTTTCAGAAGTGAGATAACATCCAGTGTTTGACTTCATGCACCAGTAACAATTCAGGTTTTTTCCAAGTTTCTGAATTATTTATGCTCATCGAAAGTACAGTATACTTCCATGGAGACAGGTACAGAACGTGCACCCTTTTCCTAGAGGATAATTAACCTAAACACATGTGAATGAACACAAGACATGTACAACAGTCAGATGACTACAACAGGTATACAAACAACTATTTAGTTTCTGCTAACCTTCAACCGTGTCACAAAGTGTTTCGCGACAGTCAGCTCTGAGGCAGGATTCCCAAGGAGGATCTCAAAACGATACTGCAGACCTAACTTGTCTCTTACTTCTTGTAACCTCTCCTTGGCCAGCATGGCTAGCTGCACAGATGGCACCCTAATGACAAGCATGTGGCCACAGCCGTTCTTATCCTTTCCTGGAGAAGTGATAAGGTCATCCATTATGCTGAGTGTCTCAGGTGTGCTGTGATCTCTTAGTGAGGCCATGGTTGTGAGAGCCATCAGAGCTTGGGAATACTGCTGAATGAGAAGGTAGCAGCGGATCACCATGCTGTGCAGCCGGGGGTACCTTTGAAGAGATAACAGTTCTGCATTAGCATGTGCAAAATCTCAGTAATGTCTGAAAATTAGCCAGAAAAACAGGACTGTGTGGTAAAGAAGTGCCTGGTTTTTTTCAGTACTGCTCGAAGAATGAAGCTTTCAATTTTCATGGACAATAATTTTGCACAAAATCTGTGGTTTAGGTAAATGAATATAACATGGTCCACTACAATAGATAAAAAGCCAAGTCCTGTGCTCAAGTGGCAGGAATAATAAACTTCTCTTACTCTCATCTGGGCCACTTTCCACTAGAAGAGATTGCTCAAGGCCCTGTCCAACCTGGCCTTCAACACCGACAGGGGTGGGGCATCTCAGTTTTGGAGCACAGGCTAATAATTGCTTTGCTGACCACAAGTTTTTTCTTCTAAGTACTTGGAGGCCCATCACTGCTTCAAGTGGTTTGTGGTAGTAGTACTTCACAGTTTCACACCTCTCAGCTTCTCACCAGAAAGCTAGACTTACCAATAGGGATTGCTGGCTCTGAGCTAAATCTGAACATTCATTTTGCCTTTTAACTTGCGTAGCAAATACTTCTCTCTCATCACAGCTATATGCAGTGACGACAGACATGAATGTAAAAACTAAATTGCTAAGAAAAAAAATTAAAACCTATTCAAGCAAAAAACCACTCAATTTCTAGACATTCCCTGTGAGTTCACTCATCACCACAATAGAGAAGAAAGCCTTTCTTCCTGCCAAGTTTTCAGTCTTGTAAGCTTTTATGGCTCACCCACCCAGATGGAGCAACCCAGTTTCTTGAAAACAGAGCTTAAATGGATAAACTGTGACTCAAAAGCTTATTCTGTCTTCAAGGTAGAGGTTCACCTCCCAGCAATTTTGAGTCTTATCCTAAACTCATATCGAGGTAGTATTTGAACATGCATTAATCCTCCTTCATCCTTTTCCCCATACACATTTTAAGAACAGAAAGAGAGTGATGGTGACCACTATCTCTTCCACTGGACTTCATCAGAAAAACTGATGAGAAGTCTGAAGAATGGACCTATTAAGATTAACTGACATAATTATTTATCACATTCATTACTTACTTAGATACTCATAGATGGTAATAACAAATATAAAGGATTAGTAATGTACTTAATTATTCATTTATGTTTCTGATTTAACACATTGGATATTGTGTTTTACTTAATAAATATAGATACATTTACTTAATAAATATAGATACATTTACTTAATAAATATAGATACATTATTATAGTGACCTAAATAAAACAGGAAAAACAGTACTGAAGACAGAACAATCCTATTCTAGCAAATATGAAATACAATGAGAACTAGTTTGAACTGTTACAAGGGATCTTGTCCTGCTGATATGCAGAACAGACTTAACTCCACATTGATGGCAATGACAGTATTGCCCTCATACCTGTAACGTGCACATGTAATCATACCTTGGATAGATGCTGTGACAGTAACTTGTTTGGGCAGCTACAGGGTATTAACAGGCTCTGAGCTGCAGGAATCAAAACCACAGCCAAGTAATGAAATTACAAAAATGATGTTTCTGAACTGATGTCACTCACTTGGGCCACCACGGACAGGTCTATTGGCAGTCTCAACGAGAAAGGCAACAGCAGGGGTGAAGTACAAAACCTCTGGTGCCTTCTCAGCTTCGTGATGGCTGAGCCAAAAGAAGAGAGCAGCATAGCTGAGCCTGGACTGCTGCTGAATGGGTCTATTCTTTATACAAAGGAAGGATACCCTTCCTCAACAGCACTAAGTTTGTCACAACAGTAAAAACTGTACATATTTGCAGATTCCAAAATCAGCACCAAAGGTCATCATGTCTTGATCCCCCCCTGTAATGGGGCTAATAAATATATCTGTATCCTTAAGATCCCAGTTGAGCAGAATCCCAAGCTCCCATGCTAACTATTTACCTTTCTAAAAGCGTGTTGACCATTTTTTCAAAGGTTTCATCACATCTCAGAAGGGGACTTGTGACTCCCCATTGGAGTGATTTGCTGTATTCATTCAAACCAAAGTACAGCTTGTCTTCACTTGCTGCATCATCCTGTTCCACACAGAGACAGCAAAAACATAAGGAAAACTGGAACCACCTGTAATTTCCTTTGTAATTGAAAATAATTAGTGGAAAGTATTTTCCAAACCAAAGTATCCTTTCTTTTCATTCATTCTCCCTCACCGATCCTATTTGTTTGTTTCAAAGAATACAATAAAATGCAAATTGTTTTTTACTGGATTTATTATTTGTCTACAGCCAAGACAGACAGGTGGAGGTCCTTGCAAATCCTTCACTGTATCTCCTACTTGTGATTGTACTGGGTTTCTAGAATCCTGCTCATTATTTTATGACTCCCTGTCTCTGGCTTTGTATCTACTGTCAACTGTTATCTCATTTCTATTTAAAGCAGAACCTGAAAACAGAAGGATTATTAATTTCCAAACTTTCTTGATTGTCAGATTCTATACACCTCTAATGGCAATCAGAAACTAATCATTTCTTCACTAGATTGTAAATCTGCAGACAGCAATCAGAAAGGCAGAATATTTGCTGCCTCAAATTTCATGAGGCCTTTGCTGGAAGCATCCAGCACTGATCTCCAGTGCATTTACGTCACCAGTAATCACTAGGAATGTAATAAATCACATACAATCTCCCCTTTTTTGTGGGGTTTTTTTTTGTTTGTTTGTTTTTTGGTTTTTTTTTTTTTTTTTACTCAGAAGACAAAGCTGTTGATTTTTTACTTTTGGGAAATAAAAAAATGTTTAGACCATTTTACAGAACATCACCATACAATTAACCAAAAAACAATCTTTGAATATTCATTCGCTCCATCATTTCCACTATTTTGTTTAACTATTTTTCACAGCTACGACTTTAAGACACTGTATAGAAACCAGTGTTCCACTCACACAGTAAAAGTCAAACTTGAAATAAATACACCAAACACAGAATAGGAGAAAAGGCTATTTTTTAAGCAGGTTTAGCCAAAACATCCTCAGAATCAACTGGCTGAAGTTGATAGTGCAGAATGTCCAGCAGACTTTCTTCTCTGGACAATGATGGCACCTATTACACCATAACTTGTTAACCTAGCACACAACTTCTATTAGTACTAGAAAAGTAATGGAAAGGCTTGACAGGATACATGACATATAACTTATAATCAAAACTCAGACTGCTTGAAAATGGAAAGCCAGCTCCAGAGCTTTATGGCACATCTACACAGCTTTGTCTGACCAGAGCATAGAACGTAATTTCTGAAATTACATGACTGGATAAAGAAAAATGTGTAGTTCTTGGGCCTAAATGTCAATCAGCATCTCAGCATCCCAGAGCTGTGTATCTGGAGCCTGAGAGAACAAACTCCAGCAAAGAAAGAGCTCCCTCCAAACACACATATCTGCTAGATCCTGTTACGTGTTTAGTCCACACTAAAATTCATAGTTAAAATTAAAAATTAAACACTTACCACATTGTCAAATTGTATCCAATGTACCTCATTGCTAGCACTGATCCTGGACTGCTGCGTTTGTAAGGCATAAGGAAAAGAGCTGACCTGAAGAACAAGGAGGTTGAATGCTTCAAGGACCTCCCTGCAATTAATAACTCTATCAGCCAGACCATGACTAGGCTCACCATGTGACAGGGAACTTGAAATGGCACTGCAGAAATAAGAATGCAAAGAATTGCCTTACTGACATTCTGAGATTTAATGGATTACTTTCTTCCTGCAGAAAAATCTCCACATGACCATGACACTGAGGATCACAGCTCAAAAATCTCTTTGGAAGGGTGAAGGATTTCAAAACCATTTGGGTGTTCTCTGTGGGTAGACTCAGGCAACAGGGAAAAAAATAAATAAAAGACAAAATCTGCTGACAGTGAGAAGATGAATTAGTGTGCCCATTTAAATGAGCATCAGGTGGAGGGAACCAAAAATGAGCCAAAGCTGATGAAATACCTCTCACTGAGAAACACTGTTCCATGGGCGGTGGCCATAGGATATAGTAACATTTTTACAAAATCCAATGGATTTTCCATCCTGAAACAGTTTTGAAAAGACTGGAAAACCTGAAAGTCTCCTAATGTCCAGCTCCTGGAATTACTTTCACCCCTAGAATATATTCAGGAATTCCAAATCCAGAGTACAGCAAAGACAGTAACAAAGATGTGATGGGTAGGATAAGGTAGAAAGAATGTTGCTTTTATCTATTTTCAGCTGTCCATCAAGGGAAGTATTTTATTTTATTTCTGATATTCATATGAATCCCACAACCCTACATACCATGTTTAAATCACATTAAGGTTATTCTCCTCAGTTTCCTTATAGAACAAGAACAGAATAATTAGCTTTACTTATTTCTTTTTTCTTCCGTAGTAAAGTTGTGATTTGGTGTGAAGAAATGTTTCTGCACATATGTGCTGTTGTGTTTAGGCCTAACACTGGCCAAATTCAACACAGCTGGGTTTTAAATCCTTTTCTTACAGTAGCTAGGGCATTTGTCAGATGATGCAAAGAGTCAATGCGTCATCTGGAAGCCTTCTCATATTATGAACAACACTATCATCAAGTATGAAAACATGAATTAAAACATGCCTGGCTTGTGAACGTGTTAGAGATTTGGGTTTGAGTAGAGAAAGAGGAGGGAAATGGGAAAAAAGACAAGAACAACAAAGACAGTTACGAAATTCCTGGGCTTTTTCTTGGGCTTCAGTACCACAGCACATACCCTTCAAATAGACTTGCTAGGGATCCAGTAATCTGAAACTAGTCTCACCTATCTTCAACTGAATCAGAATTAGTTAACAAATACTGGCAAGCAAAAACCCTGATTTCTGCTTGTGAGGCACAGAATGCCTTAAGCTTAGAAAAAGCACTGGGTGTCTAAGGCAGTAAAGTCTCTTGAAAAACCTGAGAGATACAGGGAGAGGATGATTTTCCTTTGGTAGATTGAAGCAGCTACCTTGTTAAATCCACGTGAGCATTGTCATGAACCAGCACAAACAGTGTGTAGGGATTCTGCTTTACTCGTCTCATGAAAACTTCAAATTTTGTTTGAATCTCACTGTCAAGCCGAACCACGTACTTCTCGGCTCTCTGATATGCTGTTCCATTGTCTTCTAGGCCCAAGTCCACAAGGACACCTGTCAGGGAGAAGAATACAGCAAAAATCTTTTCCTTTGAGTGCATTCAAAGATGAGGTGTCAATGGCAGGTTGCCACTTGTCAGCCAATGTTAGGACTTAGCCAAATTGCTGATACAGTGATGAGTATCTGAACGTATTTCCTCTCACAGTGGGGACAGAAATGTACTTCTTCACTTCTGGATTTCCTCCAAAAAGTGCCCGAAGACCTTATAAAGACTTCTCACATTACCAAAAAGTAGAAAAGAAAAATCAGACCTCCACAAAAAATGTCCAGAGCAGCGCTCGGTTGGCTATGCTCCATGATCCTAGGCCAAATTTGCTCACATTTAGCTAATATGTCACTCCTGGTTAAGTCAGAAAAAGTATCCTGACCTTTCCTTTGCAATAAGCATAAATGTTTATAAAATTGACTCTTGCTAAGATCATACAATTTTTTTATGCCCTGCCTCAATGTTTGTGTCAATACAGCTACTCTAGTGGTCTTTGTAATGATAGTCTGCCATCATATTCATAAAGTAGGAATGCTGTAATGTGTATAGCTCTGAATGACATTTAAAGAAGTAGCAACAAGCTACTTCTAAGGGTCAGCAATGTATTTGCCAGAGTCTTAATGATTTTAACAAATATATTTTAAAAAGTAAAGTAAACCCCATCCATTTAAAAAAATAAAATAAATACGAAACTCTGTTAACAGATACCAGAAAAGCTCTGGTTTAATGTGTAGCAGCAAATTAAGTAAATTCAACGTCTGAAGAAACATGGAATGGAACAAAAAAAACCCATAAAGTTATGTTGGAGAGAAAAAGCAACCTGTACTTCAAGTAATCTATTTTGCTCTTTCTATTTAGCTAGTAAAATAGTACAAAGCAGAGGAAAAGAATGGAGAGCTGGATCACAGTATTTAGCAATATCAGGGTATATCTGCACAGCTGAAAGAAGCAAAAAAAAAATTTCAGCTGATTAAAAAAACCCCCTAAATACACAATTAGCCTGAGGACTTCATTACTCCCAGATACCAGGAGCTAAAAAAAGACTAAACAATTACACAGATAGTCCTTCATTCTATTAGACAGACATTTTCTCCATGAAGAAATTCTTACACTTTTCTGGGCATGTATGAGTCACTAACAGAGGTCACTCTCAAGGGGGTCATATTCCATAACCTGTACACTAAGGCTTTCTTGTTTCTTCTGAAGCATTTGGTATCAGCCATGGCCAGACACAGAACCTGAGACAAGAATGCTAACCATGTGAACCAGTATGGAAACTATTGTGTGCCAATGTGCATTTATTACCCAGGCATTTACCTACCTAATGAGGGAGCTTCCTGCACATACACCTCTGCCAGTTCATATGAGAGTACATGCACAAACATACGGACTTAGGACAAATGTCACTAACAGCTCCAGGGGGTGAGAGATCCGAACAGTCACATTTGCTCATCCCCTCCCTGTTTTGACAGGTGCATGCTTCTCAGGACACACCTTCCCCAGACCTGCATGACGATGGCAATTTCTTTTGACACATGGTACAGCTTGGGCCCAGTTTATGAAAGGAAAGTATCGAGAATTCATCAGTGATACCAACTAATGAAGCTCATATTAGACATGCAAAATATGTGTTGGAGGAACTGACTTCTCCAATCATACCAGATATGACTGAATAACATCACGTACTTTGATTAAACACTCTCTTTTGCCCTCCCCTCCCTTTTACCTGATTGTCGAATCCGTTGAAGGGTCTGCTGCACCAGGACCTCTGAACGGGGAACTATAACGATGAAATCTACTTTGCTGAAGTGGCCCAGATCCAGGCTCTGATTGCCACTGTCTGCTATAGCACAAACCTGGGACAAGAGCTTTCTGGCAACTGTAAGCTGTGGCTGGTAAATTTGGAAGGTATCAACATCCAAATCTAGAGTGCGTTATTTGAAAAAAGAAAACAGAACACAACAAGAAACATGTTTATTTTCCCACCCCCCCCAATAAGCATGATCCTCCAAAGAGCCTACCCTCTATTATCAGAATAAAAAGATCACTCATCAGAATAAACCTTTACACTCTGTAGAGCTGGGTCCAGATCACAAATGTCCCCTTTCTTGTTTTGATTAAAATGTGATAATATATCAGATGGCCTCAAGTACAGCACTGCCCATTTTTTAAATGCCATGTTTTGAGGAAACCTCAATGCCAACATAGTAAAATGCATTCTGTCAAACGAACCAACACATACATAACATGCATGTAGATATAGAATCATACGAATCATAGAATGGTTTGGGTTGGAAAGGACCTTCAAGATCATCTAGTTCCACACCCCCTGCCATGGGGAGGGACACCTTCCACTAGACCAGGTTGCTCAAAGCCCCTGTGTCCAACCTGGCCTTGAACACTGCCAGGGATGGGGCAGCCACAACTTCTGTGGGCACCTGTGCCAGTGTCTCACTACCCTCACAGTAAAGAACTTCTTCCTTATATCTAATATATATATACACACACACCCATAAAAAAGATGTACATGTGTACATATACAAAAAGCATATACACACACTCTTATAGGAGAGCTCTAATGTTCTCCTGAAACTTCAGTTTTCCTTTAGGAGCTTCCCTCTATCACACTGCTGGGAGAACCAATCACGGGTGCTGAGGCTGCTGTGCTCAGGGCACAATAGGATGAGCACCAGCATACCTATCAACCTGGGGAAACTGAGCCTGTGTTGATAATCCTGCCAAAAAGACTAACAGGACAGCAGGTTAGTTAGGAGTTCATTTGTACATCACCTCTGCTCTGAAGTACCAAGCCCCACTCTTAGTCATGACTGAGACATCCAGATGTCTGTATACTGACTGATAGTTACAAATGCTGTGAACGGAAGATGAGCAATGTGCCTAGGCAATAAATCTCAATTACTGGGGGAGGGAAAGCGTTTATTTCTTTGAAGGTTCCTTGATGTTTAACGAAATGTTAGTCTCAGATTTCTTTGCACTTAATAATATCAATATAACACTAGCTGCAGAGAACTGGGGGACAGGAGCTTTGCTCTCTATAGATGTGTACCAGAGCATTCATGTTTCCTTGAAGACAATGCATGTTCCTATATATCAGTATTTCTAGCAGGTAAATTCAATGCCCAAATTCATTAGCCCTTGAATATTTTCAACATTCAGATTACCAAAATAAATCCTGTAATGCCATTACAGATGTGGGGTTTTTGTGGTTTTGTTTGTTTGGGTTTGGGGTTTTTTCATGTCACTTTTTCTTACTGTGAAGTAAATTCTCATTAATGGACTGCTTACCATAAAATATTACCTAGGGCAAATTTCTTCTAAAAGAACAAGAAAAACATCCAAAACTCTGCAAATTTAATACACAAGAACTACTGTTGCTTTTTTAAATAATAAGCCACTTTATACAATCCTGCAATTTACATGAACATTGGAAGGTGTTTGGACAAAAACCTGGTATGTTAATTTTATATAGACACACGTGTGTTTGTGTGCATGCTCTTATCTCCTGCTCCAACCTGCCTCAGTGTTCATTTTAGCAGGCTACTATGGGAGAAAGGTCCCTCTCACTGCCTAGGAGGCTCACCCCTCTTTTTTTTTGTATTCAGACAGATTCTCAGTAGCTTCAACCACTGTACAGCCATATTTTAAAGACAAAATTAGCTCAGAACAGTAGCTTGAGAAAATATGAAGGTTTAAAAAAGCACTGCTGCACATCATTAGACAGTAACAACAACAACAACAAAATCCAACAGAATGTAAAGATTATTCTCTCTTCAACTTAATCCTGTGAGGAAGCTCAAGAGTTGTCTTTCTAGGTGTGTCAGAACAAAGTTCCTGGCAGCCTTCTTACTTGGATTTCCCAGTCCATGTGGACACTCTCAACCACCTTGCTTTCATTCAGATCTACCACTGAGCTGATTAATTTAAACTACTTAATGTGAATCAAGTGCATATCTACTGTTCATAGCGAAAAGTCTTTACTGGAGTTTGAATTTGCTTTGATACTAGACCTAGAAGAACTTCAGTGTTCACAACAGCTCAGTATGTCTTTTACCATTACTGTCATATGAAAATGAAAGTATGGTTACAACTCTGAATAACTAAGGAAGTCCAAAATGGGAAAATTATGGTTAGCATTTTTAGACAGGCAATCCTAACTCATCTTTTGCACCTAAGTATCTCATCACATTTTGCTGAATAATACACATCTCAAATAAGCAAAGTATAGATTACACTTGCCTAGCACTTTCAGTCCAAGATCTTAAAACACTTTCCCTAAAAGTTTAAGCCTCAGAGCACAGGTCTGTAGTACATATTATTACCATTTTACAGGTGGAAAGTGAGGAACGGCAGTAGGTAAGAAACAGGAGGACACCTGGGGAGATGAGAACAAGAATCCTCTGCCTTAAGCACAAGGTTACATTCCTTTTCTAGATGCAAAAGCGCAAGATGAGTCCACACTGCCAACATTACAAAGGAACATTTCTACTCTGCCTAGTGCATAACAGAAGAGCTTAGAAATTACAAAACATAGGGGAAAAGTTGCTAAAGGTTACTACAGAGGTTTTCTGCCTGAGAGACTGCTATGTTGCCACATTCAGCTGGCAATATTAACATTTGAAGGTTGGCACACTGTCTGCAGCTGTGCCCTGACTCTTGAAGCACATGCAATTTGAGATTTAACAAACTACTCACTTATTTCACACCTTGCACATAAAAAAATGTACCTGGTTCTTGTGTAGAAACCATGGCAATTGCCTCCTGCGATGACACACACTCGCTAACATCTCCATTGAAAGGAATAATGACACTTTCCCCTCGCTGCTGTAGCATTTTCTCCAGCAGCTTGTCCAAATCATCACCTAGGTAAAAATTAGCAACATCAAATTATCTGGAAGTTGTTTCAGACAAATGATGCAGAACATTACATACACATGTGTTCTCACGCAGCTGATGCCAAATCTGCAAAGGGGCAGGGGGCTGGAGATAGAGGGAAGAGAGGGAGGGGGAATATTTTTCTCTTTACTGACTTGCCAGTTGAATGAATTCCAAAAAAACCCAAACCACAGCTGCATAATTTCAGCTCTGTGCCTTTACAGCTAGTGGTGACATCTGATGATTACAAAGAAACATACACTACAAAACAACCTCCAAAACCTGTGCTAGGAGCAGAGACTCATGCACTTCCGAGTGCCCTGCTGTTACATTCAGTAGTATAAACAGGGTTTAAAATATTCTGCCATGGGATGAGTAACTTGCACTGCATGGGTGAAGGAGCCGAGCACTCCTTTACTCACAGTGAATGGAGAGAAGGAAAGGTGGAGAGGGCAGAGCTGTATTCATGTGCACTTCAACTGCTGAACAGGAGACACACCCAGCCCTGAAGACATGATTGTCTTGGCTAGAACGTCTGTTTCTTAGGATCACTCACCTAAAGATGTGTTTTTGAAATGCGATGCCAGGAAACTAACTTTCCCTGTGATGAGCTCATAGCTGATCTCCTTTAAAAATTCACTGGTAGTAAGCATGCTTTCCGCAAGTGCCCTAGACTGATACTGACCTGGAGAAGAGGGGAAAAAAGTCAAGAGCAATCTTTAATACAGTGTACTATCAACACAACCTGTTCATCCTAGAAGTGCGGGTAATGCTGATCTTCAGTCGTGGATCTCCACTGCCTTTACCTAGTAGGCTGGGAGAGCAGCCTCAAGCCTATTTTGCTAGCAACAGGATAATTACTTATATCAGTTTGGCACACCCTTTGCAAGCTGTTGCCCATAGTTTTGCACACTTGGGTGACAGATGATGTGCAAAATAATTATTTGTACCTTAGATGGAATAGAGAATTCTGGGTAAATATGAAAAAGTAATTATCCCTAGTGTAGGAAAAAAAGTAAAAACATGACATTACCAATTTATCTGACTACAAATGAAAGATGACCAATCAAGATCCACTCTCATCCAGATGCACTCATGCACACACAAACATCACAGCCAGTCACCAATGCAGAATTTGAAAATCAACATGGTAAAAAGGATAAAGTATCTTCTGTTTTACAATGGTCTGCAGAAGACTGTGGTCAGTCCAATATTGCCATGTGAAATAGCACAGCCACACAAAACAGAGAAAGACAAACCAACTACTTTGTCACTGGGTTACTTCCAGGAATTTTTTAAGGTAGCCTCACAAAGTCTCAGGCCTCTCAAGGAGTAGCAATAACTAACCTACAGCTATTTTTCTGGATCCTCATAGGCATCAGTACTCCAAGTCTTGATGGAGTAAGCTGTGACATCACAGTGTAAAATACAAAGAAGAATAAAGAGAACAAAAGGGATTTAAAAGCTGTAACAATGACTCAAGAAAATCAATGCAGCAAAACTGCATTGGTATTAGAGGTGTACTGCAAATATACTCACCCAGGACTACTACGCAGAACTCATTTCCTCTTATCTTTGATGTACAAATGGCAACTACATAATCTGGTAGCTTTTGCTGATGTTTCATTTCGTTAAGAGACCTCAAGGTCTCCGAGATGCCCTCTGCCAGCGAATTCTGGGTTACAACCACGTGCACAAGGTCCCGGGACACACTAGCGATTAACCTAGCAAGCCAAGGGAGTTGACCTGGTGACACAGTGACACACTGTGCGCTCATTTGCAAGGATCGCTCTCTCAGACTGAACTCCTGCATAGCTTTCAACATGATCTGCTCAAATTCTTCCCTCAGGGGTATCTGGTCAGGACCTACATTGAAAACAAACAAACAGAACAACAGTATCTCATATCAAAATGTTATTGAACCAGGAATAATCACATCTGTCTTGATCTGACAAGTTCCTTTACCATATTTTTTATGTTTACAAAACCCACTCACTACTCAGTGGATATCTACCCGCATGGCTTATTCTTGTTTGTTCATATTATGGTCTTTCTCCCACCATCTCTCCTTTTTGTAGCCTTCATATGTTCTTACAGCAGAAAACCCAAATGCTTATCCTCGTAGTCTGACTGCAGCCATGCAGTATGATGAAGCCTGTCAAGTGGTCTTTGATTTGCTTTTTCTCATCATGCATAATAGCAAACTAAGCATGGGTGTAAAGAAACATGTTTAACTTCTTCTTTGACTTTAGTTAAATTCAATTAATTTAGCAAATCTTCAAACTTCTAATGTAAAGAAGCATATGCAACTTTAGCTCTAAATTCCTCAGACTTCATAAACTGTCTTGTGAACTTCGACTGGCAAACAGAAATAGAAGCTATGTTATCTTAGCATCAGTCTCCAGCTCGGCTTCATTTAACATTTTGCTCAGTAATATTTGTCTCATTGTCAAAGATACTCAGGAACAGATAAAAATTCATGAACAGAGAGTAAAAAATAACCATAGCTTAAATTGCCAAGATGTCATGTCAGTGCCAAAGGAGATAGATAGCTTCATGCTTCAACAGCTTTATTTTCTATGAATGAAAGAGGAGGCTTAAATACCAGAGATATGTAAATACTGGTTTTGGTTTTATGTTTTCTTTCAGGGTCAAAGACAACAAGCGAAAAGGGCAGTGAAGAAAAGGAAACAGGAAGATCGTGTGAGAAGCAGGGCAGAAAGTGGGTAAATAACCCACAGCACAGAATCTGTAAAAACCGCCACCTGTTGTCATTTTGCCTTTCTGAGAAGTAACACAGAGTGTCACCATCCAATTACCACAGGATGGTAGAAGAACTACAGACTTGTAAATGCAAGGCTGTTCTCATTTTTGATGCAAACCAGAAAGTTCTGAAGAGTCTCGTTTAATGCAGCATCAGCATAATTCTCTCCTCACAGTTCTCTGTTTTTGAAATCTGTTTTCCTTTCTAAGAAAGCATCACACATTCTAGGTCCTTGGAGATATCAAACTGGACATTTATTGACAGAGATTAATCTTCTTCTGCAGAAATAGTCTATCTACAACTTATCAACCATAACAAAAAAGATGTTACACACTAAAAGAAATCAAAGCAAGATTTTGCTGATTGAGGGAGGTTACTTAAGAGACAGGCTCTAGACACAGGCGTCATCATGAATCCAAGAAAACAAAAATAACTGTACAGATGGACAGAGTTCTGTATCAGAGCACACAGAATTATATTCAGATGATTTATAGAAGAAACACTTTTAAAAACAGGTTTCAGGAAGGCACTGATAAGGAAATATTTTTAAATTAGTGAAGTTTTTAATAACACACTTGGCTCATGATGGTCTTTCTCCACAACTATTCAGAAAAAATAATGGAACTAGTATCAGTAAGCTGGAAGACAAAATGGAACTGATTCTGACGGTGAACAGATTCATAAATACATGTACAGGAATAAGTCACAGTTAAAAGGGAATATTTGTAAACTTCTCTACATATATGAGTATGGAAAGTATTATCTTGACTTCAGAAAACAAAACTGCAAAACAAATAATATCATAAAACATTAATATCTGAAAAAGACCTTATTAACATAGCTACACTTCCAAAAGCACCTGCAGTGATTTCAGTGCCAGAGAAGGTTATGGAGCAGATCATCTTGAGTGCCATCATGTGGCATATACAGGACAACCACGCGATCAGGATGAGTCCACGTGGGTTTATGAAAGGCAGATCCTGCTTGGCTAACTTGATCTCCTTCTATGACAAGATGACCCACTTAGTAGTTGAGGTAAAGGCTGTGGATTTTGTCCGTTTAGACTTTAGTAAAGCCTTTGGCACCATTCTCCACAGCATTCTCCTGGAGAAACTGGCTGCTCATGGCTTGAATGGGTGTACTCTTCGCTGGGTAAAAAACTGGCTGGATGGCCAAGCCCAAAGAGTGGTGGTGAATGGAGTTAATCCAGCTGGTGGCCAATGACAAGAGGTGTTCCCCAGGGCTCAGTATTTGGGCCAGTTCTGCTTCATATCTTTATCAATGATCTGGATGAGGGGACTGAGCGCACCCTCAGTAATTTGTGGATGACACCAAGTTGGCTGGGAGTAATCTGCTTGAGGGTAGAAAGACTCTGCAGAGGGATCTGAACAGGCTGGGTCGATGGTCCAAGGCCAATTGCATTAGCTTCAACAAGGCTCAGTGCTGGGTCCTGCACCTGAGTCACAAAAACCCTATGCAAGTCTGTGGGCTTGGGGAAGAGTGGCTGGTGGAAAAAGACCTGGGGGTGTTGGTCAACAGCCAACTAAGCATGAGCCAGCTTGTGCCCAGGTGACCAAGAAGGCCAACAGCATCCCAGTGTGTACCAGAACTAGCGTGGCTTCTAGTGTGTAGCAGGACTAGGGCAGCAATCATAGCCCTGTATTAGGCACTGGTGGGGCTGCACCTTGAATACTGTGTTCTAGTTCTGGACCCCTCACTAAAAGAAAGACACTGAGGTGCTGGAGAAGAGCAATGAAGCTGGTGAAGGGTCTAGAGCACAAGTCTTATGAGGAGCAGCTGAGAGAACTGGGTTTGGTTAGCCTGGAGAAAAGGAGGCTCAGGGGAGACCTTGTCATTCTCTACAACTACCTGAGAGTGTAGTGAGGTGGGTGTTGGTCTCTTCTGCCAGGTAACAAGTGATAGAACAAGAGGTAATGGCCTCAAGCTGCACCAGGGGAGGTTTAGACTGGATATTAGGAAAAATTTCTTCACTGAAAGGGCTGTCAAACATCAGAACAGGTTGCTTGGGGAAGTGGCAGAGTCACCACTCCTATGGGTATTTAGAAGACATGCAGATGTGTCACTGAGGAACATGGTTTAGTGGCGGACTTGGTAGCTGTTTGGCAGGTTACCCATTGGACTCTGTGATTGTAAAGGTCTTTTCCAGCCTAATGATTCTATACAGTTTAAGACAACATATTCAAATACCTTCCATTTCTGGGTAGACACTTCACAGTGCATCCCACAGAGAACTTACTCCTTCAACAATCTAAAACTATGAGAATTGCTGAAATAACCTCTTGCTTGAGTGTCTGAATATCGTTTCCACTGAAGACAGAGGCTTGTTCCTGCCTTCAGTCTGGATGGGCATTCAGATATTGAAGCTACAGAACACCGCTTGGTATCACGGCATATGCATAGTCAAAGTGATTCAAATATACCACAACAACAGAGAAAAGAGAATGATTTTATAATTCTGAACAGATAGTTAACAGAAGGTCCAGAAATATTCCGCAGCTGAAAAACCAAAACAGAGACCTCAGCACTGTGTAGGATGAGACTGTGTTTGTAGAAAGGGTAGTGTGATAGCAAAAAGCAGGCAATTACACACGATAGAATGTAACCCATACTGCAAATATGGGCATTGTGAGGTACAAAAACAAAGCTTCAGAATACTTCACTGTAAGTGCTGCCAAAGATAACAAATGTGAAATCTAAATAGGTACAGGAGACAAACTGTAAAACCACTGAAATCAAACACATCTTTTGATCTTTTTTCACTGATTCCTTTATCACAGTCAGTGGAATTTATTTAGAGCTATGCTATGGCTCATAATCACAGCTTTCACTGTGTACAGTCTTCATGGTAGGTTTAAAATGTTTTTAAATGTTTGGTTTGATTTGTAATATTGTGAGATTGCTCAGCTGATTTCTGAAAACACAACAGCATTATCACACAATAAATAACGTCGCCAATCTTAGAGGAAAACTCAAAAGATTTCCTAGATATATCTTTTTCTTTTTTTTTTCCTAAAAAGGAGCACTTTCATAAAAAATATTCATATGACCTGTGATCACAGTCACCGCAAGCGTATTTTGTAAATGTAGTGAGATCTGAAAAAATCAGGAAAGATTCAGTATCTGTTTAATTCTTCTGCCTGCTTTGTTTTATCTTTGCCTTTATCTTACTCTTTTGCAATATACTCTGGAAAAAAGGATCACTTTTTAGCCCTGTTTTCTCAAGATTAAAAGAGGCTCACATAAGTAAACTGTTCAATTATGTGTGTATTTGTCTCTTTCCTTGTCAAAATTCTTTTAGCTGGCTGCCCTCCAATCATCTTTAATTTGCTTTGATTTTACAAAATGGGATAAAGGCTACAGTTCAGCGCAACTGTCACAGTTCCAAAAGTTTTAAATTTGTAGCGATATTCAAACCAGCAACATGTTTTGATCCCCATGTTCTGCAGAATGTTTTTAGAATGTTTTCAATTTTCTCCTCATCAGGCTCTTTCATCTGACAGTGCTGGCGCCCATCTCCACATAAGGCCTATTGGAAACCTATTCAGCCTTGCAAAGATAAGAACAAAAGCCAAATTAAACACCTGCTCATAAGGGAACTGCTTTATGCTGAAGGCACAGTGGTCACTAAACACAACTCAGCACCAGCAGCTTTGCATGAAGCCTTCCTTATTGAGTTTGCAGCAAGCACAGACTTGGTTGGATTTGCTCATAGAGTGTGGTTCACTGACACAGTAAGTTTCAATAAATAGTCTATTTTTAATTGGAAATATTGCATCAGCTGCCTACATGTTTCTCTGGGGGAAATTTGCAAGCTGCCTCTATCAGTCCAGAACTATGTGAAGTAGTTGGTTTTAACATGCAGATTCTATAAGCTTCCCGATGAAGATGAAAACCTCAAATAACAAATTTAAGTCCAGTGAGGGAAAGAAAACAGAAAAACATTTAGCTTGTAAAAACTAAATAAACCCTCTGTCAGTTCTAACATAGCATCCGATGGACTGTTGAGGCACAGAACGATAAGCAAACAGGCCACTTAGTATTACAATACAGGATGCCTCTTTCCTGTCTGTTACAGTAGTGCATCAAGGGAGAAGAGCGAAGCAAAAGAACTCATGGGTGAAACCTACACAGAGCACATTCGCTCCCCAAATTATAGGGTTATCACCAGATGTGATTCTTCTGAATCATTTGCACATTTCACATCACTATGTACTACAGATGCCCTGGTGGAAACCCGATATAGGAAAAGCAGTGTGCTCTTCACAGAAGACATTTCACACTCCTCTGTGATAAGCAGCATCTTTTCAAATACAGAAGTTAAGACTAAGATTGCTGTGAGAAGTTTCCCCACACTACCCTGCATTATTCTTTAACTTCTAAAACCTTACTGTCGACCGCTGGCTGCTTTTTACTCTAAGGCAGAGAAAAAATTCTACACCTGCAATAAGAGAAACCAAATGTGGTTTGCTCTCAAGCTTGCAAAAAGTCCATTCCAAAAACACTTGCAAGAATGAGATATTCACTGAATCACTTGCCTTAGTCTGAATAACAAATGTGGTTTTCATGTAAACGGTGCTGTCACCAAAACAATGACAACCATCACACATCTGCCAGCATTTGTCACAAAACTGAATAAAACAGACCGAGCGTCCTTAGAAAGAGCTGTGATAACGGATGGTTTGATACCCTAAGCAAATGAGTTATCTGCATTGCAAATCCATTTCACAAAGGTGACCTGGTCAATCCCCATATGGAGAGCAGAAGCAGCATCAGCTCTTAAATTCACTTCACTTCGGTCTGATGAGAAAGTAGCAAAGTCACACACACTAGATGGAGCCACTTACCCCTTTTCCAGGCATAAAAGTAGCCAGAAAACTGGCCACTACTACTGAAACAGACATAAGGAGGGTGGGGAATAAAAAGGACACTCACAAATGAAAACGAGTGCTTACGATAAATTGCTTACCTAGTTGGACAAGATACTGAATAGTTAACAGTATCATATTCTCCACACTTAGCAGCTGACTGCTGGTCAAACCCAAGAGATCCAAGTCCTTGTTTTCCACCTGTGGAATCTTATAGCAATTCACCAGCAAGGGACTTACAACAATATCACCGACATTTCCATAGAAATATGGTAAAGTGCCATAACCTTTGATAAAAGAAACAAAAAACCCGCAGAAATTCACAAAATGTGCCACTACACGAAGTCTTGCACACTGTATACATTTCCAAACACTTCCTTAATGTTACCTTGCAAAATATACTGCATCAGTGACTGTTCTTGGCATTATAATTGCTTACAAAATAAATGAGATAGGACAGTGATCCTTTGCTGTATTTTACAAGTGATCACATAGGTTTGCAAAAACTAACAATAGGGGATACCAGCCAGATAATAACTGTTGTTATCCAAATACAGATGAGAATATTATCTATTTGGGTCTTACCCTGACCTTTAAATACAGATTCTCCATAATATAGTGTACAAAAAAGAAAAATCAATAGAAGCAAAAGTACATTGATCTGAACATTATAAAAGCAGCATAAGTCACATTAGCATTGATTCAGGCACTGTAGCATTGCTGTGATTGATTTCACTTTTTTGCCACGTTTCCATTCTGTTTCCATAAACAAATAAATATCAACAACTAAACATGCTGTTCTAGAAAGTAAAGCACAGGACCACAGGCCAACTCTTCTTTTCCTTGAGAATGTTTTTGTTTTAAAAACAAAACAGATTTTCCCAAACCCATCCATTTGGGTCCCTCTGGTTCTGTACTATGAATAGGATGCTGTATCATGGGGCCACTAACATTTAGCCTAAATGAGGACTTACTGGCAACTCTCCAAGAGCCTAAGGGCTGCATTCAATTTGCACTTAAGCTGATGACTGTAGGTACTCTCATCTTTAATAAAGAAGTGCTTCTCTGAAAACTGTTAGAGCAGCATGCTAGAGCTTTAGAATAGGCTTCCAGAAAACAACATTAAGCAAAACAAACCAGAAGCGTAACCCTGTGCTTGATGGATTTACTTGTGCACAGTAGAAGGCTCTGTTAATTCTCTGGAAATTGTGTGTGCAAGGATTATCTGTGCAAGTGAGGACTTGGAGAACATCTCCATTTCTTCAGGAATGGTAAATTATTCCATGGATTATATTGATAGGCATGTTCTGTTAACTCTGAAGCTTCTTTATACAACTATCTGTACTATGCTGCACTGAGAAGAGATTTAGTCAAAAAACTTCCCAAAAAAATTACTCATCAAAATTTTGGCAGTACTACCTGACTAATCTTTTGTTATATAGCATGCACAAATAGCTCAGGTTGAAAGGGATTTTCACATTACAAGTTATGCTTTTAAAGTAAAAGCATTGTCTTTCTAAGGGTTAATGATGTACTTTATACATGATTTTAAAAGCCTGATCTGTTCTCTCACTTGCTTACAAGAAGTATGGACTATAAAAGACAAAGATTTAGCATGATTTGCTTCTGATTAGTCAATTTGAATCAGTTTTCTGGTTCTTACGCAGAATCCCTGGGCTTCAATATTTGGACTATAAATGCTGCAGGAAATATTTGCTTGTTTTGTAAGTTGTTTACACTGGAAAGCTGTTTTCATTACATGGTAATATTTCTATTCTTGGGCCTCACAAAAATCTTATTTGTGCAAAACATCAATTTGGCCAGAGGTTTTGTACACATTTGACCTAATCATGACCTGTTTGCAAATCAGGCTCTCCAGAGATAGCCTGAATTCCAATTTTAAATGTTGAGCACCTAAACTATCCCTGACAAACTGACTTTGTATTGTACAGAATGCCAGAATCAAGAAAAAACCTTTTCTCCTAGGGGAGCATGTATCTGTGCAAAATGCAGCATTTGATTCCCCAGTGTAAGACTTACCTATCAGAATCACTGGTCTAACTCCCGAGTTATTCAGCAGGTTCTCAGGAACTATTACAGTCTCCCCTGCTGGGATGGGTTGAGGCTGTAAAATTCCAGTTAACATGGATTGTGGAACTGGGGCTGACAAAAGAGGCTCTATAAAATAAAGAAAAGAGAAGCTTCCATTACTAAAAGGCTCATACTGTGATTTGGCCGTATGAACAAATAAAGAAAAAACTACTGCAGATCACTAACTGTAATAAAATTCAAAGGTCTCTGCATTTCCTGCTATAGTTTTAAGTAATTTAAATTAAGAGCCTATATCCTCCTGTAGGACCACCCCTAAAATAAAACTTTTTCTAACCACTGTATTGTTGGTGGGAATGAGAGAGGAGAACACAGGTTTGAATATGCATCTTTAAACAAAGCCAAGTACTAAGCCAAAAGGCCACCTCTAAGAGAGACGCTACCTCCCAATACTGCCTCTCAATACAAGGGAAGAGACTGCTCTGGCTCCTGACCTAGAATATACGTAGAAAACAAAAACAGGCCAGAAACTCAAAGCTGTGCTTAGACACTTGCCACAAGGATAAAAATTAGGCTTTACTCATGAAAGAGCAAGAGAAGCTTTCACAAGTTAAAAGAAATAAAGTGCAAGAACTCTGTAATCAGGTTTCAGCACAAGGTCTGCTTCAGAAGTTTCTCAGGCTTCTTTTGGTGTTTGTAACAGATTTTGCAAACAATGCCATCAATAGAGGCTGCACGAATGTATGCATTTGTTTTAGCAGTGGACATTGGTTCATCCAACAGAAAAAAACCTATGAAATCCATAGAAAATGGAGTACACAGCAGGGGTAGTAGACTGGTGGAGACAAACTCAAGAAAAAAGGGAGATTGCCTTATATCTTACATCTTCAGCAAGTCTCTGAAGCTAGAAATCCCCTAAAGCTACGACTGACTTGACATGCTCAAGTAGGCAGGCCTTCACTACCATGCAACCCTTCTTCCTATGACGTATATCTCTGAAAATTAGTTCCTAAATATCTCAAAACCAAACCTTCAAAAGCAGAGTTAAAAATACGTTGTGAATGTTGACAAATGGGTGCGGTTTTTTCTCCTTGTATGTTTATTCTCTCACTCTATAGAGAGGAATAAGTAATTGTTTATTGTCCTTTGCAACATCTGCTAAATCCCTCAACTGAAAAGTGCTCAAATAGTGAGCAGTTTTATTAATAGTTATGTATAAAAAGGTATCTATGTGGATATTGATGAGTATTCACACATACTTGTAATTAATCCTATCTCATATCATGATGCTACATATCCCTACTACACCTTTTCCATGCACAAAAGTCATTTGGTCTCACAAACTCTCCCCACATAGTTTCACCTTCCCTGTGCCCCATCTTAAGACTATGGCAACAAGGACCAGGCAATGTGTGCTTTTCTGGGGCATCTGAAAAACTTTCCATGTTGTCCTTAACTACTTCAACAAGATCAGTTGTGTTTTCTGTGCAACACAAGGGAAGCAGCACAGGGCTACTGGTTCAGCTGAGGACAGGTTTCTGGAAATGACATCTCTGTATTATTCAAGTTTTACCTGTTCTTGCTGCAGGCCGAATTGTAGGAACAGGTACTGCCAAACCAGGAGGAGGAACTGGGGACCCAGGAGACCATCCCCGGTGACGTTTCTTTGGTGGTCCAGAACTTGACATTGATGCTGAGAAGGAAAACAAAAACTAATTCTAAACCCCATCCTCCCAAATGACCAGAATCCAGCCCACATTTCCATTTCATGTTGGTGTTGAGTTGGTACCATGTCACAGAGCACCAGAGGTTTACATCTAAATTTACATGAAGGCAGACTATGACGTGAAAAATGTTGTTAGCTGTGTTGAAAAGTACAAAATTATCATTAATGGTCATGTCAAAAACCAAATGGATCTGTAAAGACCAAATTGCAGAAACAGCTATAATGGGAAGAACAACAAAATCATTAATTTCAGGCTCGACAGTAAGTGCAGCTTAAAATAAAAGAACAGAGAAATTTTCTTTACCTTGGTCTCCAGCTGCACAGCCAGGACTGGGAGATGTCGAGTGAGGCATTGGCCGAGAGACTGTAGAACTCAATAAGTTATTTCTTCCTCCATTAGCGTTTCCATTAGCAACATCAGTGGCACGCAGCGAAAGAGGAGCTGAGTATAATAAAATACAGAGTGTGTGGCTTGAGATGATCTTGAAAACAAACAAACAAAATAATACAGCCACATGGATACACAAAAGAACAGGGCAAGATGCGTGACTGAAAGAAACATACTCCATGGAAAGCATGAAGTGTACTTGGCAGAGAATAATTTGGGCATAGGCTGCAAAATCCTAACCTTGAAACGAGGTCTCCGGATTTCAGGGTGGGGCAGATAGGCAGAATAAAAAATACCCAAACAACCCCCACCAAAATAAAATAGAAAATCACACACACAAAACTATTGGGTAGTTTGTGACGTGTTTTTTTAGATCCTGAAAATAAAAATTAAAAAAAAAAAACAAACTAAGAAAAAACAAGTGCATAGTTAATTCAGTTTGTAAAGATTTCTAAGCCACTTTGGTGCATCTGTATATTTTTCCCCCACTTGTCCATGTAACTGTACACAGCAAGCCTGACACTGTGGCAGAACCACTATATCCAAATAACAAAATGAAACTACAACGGAGGATTGCCAGATGCTATTCTCACACCTCTGAGCTTCTTATGCTTTTTCAGAGCCTAATTCTTGCAGAAGAAAAAAACCCCAACAATGGCATAAACTGTGTAGAGCAGACATGGAGCCCAGTGGGGACTACAGCTCCTTGCCGTTATCTGCCAGCTCCACACAGACTTAGCTCTGAGGAACGTATTCCAGGAGCAGTCGCAGAAGATAGTGCAGCAGCTGGCTGATGTAAGCTGCAACAGAAAGCATTTGAAATGTGGGTATTTGGCTTAAAACACATGCAACGTGGAACTCTCCAGCCACAGTCACCCAAATAAGTACAGGCACAAGAGCCTCAGGTTGCCAATTAGCAAAATTTGAATAACATCACTTGCCCATTGATGCTCCCCATTTGTACTCAGTCAGTGATTTGGTATGGACAGATATGGTCGACATGGGTCAGTTACAGAAGTGGCTGAAATGGTGGGAAGTAATTTCACTGCAAGATGAATTCTCTTACACAAGTGTGGAGGGGAAAATGGTATTTTACATAAAGAACTGTTAATGATTCATTGGGTACAACATAATATTATGAACGGTAACAATATAAGTTGTATAAAATACCAGATACAATACCTCATTATAAAATTTAACGCTCATGCGCATATATAAAGCTAAAGTAATAAACAATCAGAATATCACAACAGAGAACCAGTGAGGGATTTAGATGCCACAGCTGAGGACCCTAATTTATTAAACACACAATACAGAAATGAATAATTAAAATAGCACAGATCTTAAAACTCCTTTAAATGTATGTGGAGGAACTATACCTGTTATGAATGCAGAACACCACACAGCTCTCAGTTACTGAGGCAAGAATCAGTGTGATATCAAGAGGTGACTTTTATGTCCTCTTAGATATCTTAGGAAGTGCAAAGAGGGATATGACATGCACTTTTATCAGAATGTCAAATCTGAAAGTCAAGGTGAGGTCACTTTCGGGATAGTAATGGCCATGAAAAATTTCTGTGCAGAGGACTGCAAGAAGATGAGAGTTTTGGATGCTAGTGAATGTTTTCCTTTCCTTTCTCCACCCAAAAGATGACTCCATTATTTCTTGGCCGTTAAGACAGTGAGTTCCAGGACAGCTCTGAGCTATCTTGGAAAGCAAAGCTGTACCTGCAGCAAATGCTTTTCCTACAAGCTGTACTGACAAAGCCAGAGGTTTCACGATGTTCTTGTTCCGGGATGGGTCTTGAGTTCCACTTAAATTAATAGCAGAAGATGATTTTGCTGGACTGAATACTGAAGAATCTGAGAAAATAAGTTGTTTCATTAAGCAATGATTAAAAATTCTATATACATGCATATATAATTTGTATTAAATAAATACGAAGTCACACATTTATCTAAACTCATCTATGCATATAATAATTTTTAATGCATACAATAATTTTTTTTACACTCCTAAGAATTTACCACGTATTGGTATATTTTAGGAGTCGTAACAAACATTTAACTGGGCATCTCTACAGAATATTATAATCTACTGAACCCACAATTGATCTCTTCTACAGTAGTTTGCATTCCATACACTCAAAAAATACTTCAACTGTAGAAAGTGCTACCTCAAAATACCCCCATGGGCAAGTAGACGGTTATCCCATGTTAGAGATGAGAAAGCAAAGCGACAGAGCTTACAGGACTTGCTCCCAGCAAGCATAGGGAATAAGCACTGGAGTAAGTTGCTTTAGAAGGTTGTGGAATCTCCACCACCTGATTTTCAAGAACAATTTATTGAATCTTTGACAGGGGTTCAGACATAGTTGGGCTTGACTTAGCACAGAAAAAATATCAAATACATAACCTCCTCACAACACTACTATCTATAAGGCTATGAAATATATACATCCATTTATAAGTCTGGATAAGAAACGAAGGGTATCTGAGCCTGAACTCTTGGAATGAATTAACAAATAGCAGCCCCTTAGAGCACTTTACCAAGTCTGAAAAATATAAACCTCATTTTCTAATTGGATAAAGTGAAGAACAAATTATAATACTTGCCCAGTATAAAATTGTAAATCAGAAACATTTCCAAACCTCTCAGCATGTAGGTCCCTACTTTAACATTTAATATTGGCAATTTACTTCAAGAAATATTCGGTATTCAAGTGACAACACAGACAAATCCAAGTTCTTTTAACTGGAGTGAAAGAATATTCACTCAGCGTCTGTCCAGAAAGTAGCCTGCAACAAGTAGGCAAAGTAGGCTAAGTTCACCTACAGATGTCCTAGTAAAAGAGCCGGGTAAAGAAAACAGAAGGCAAAGACCAACTTGATCTGCCAAATACATTCACCCTCAGGCCACACACCATTTGGTGAATGAGGGTGGGGAGGAGAGTCTGCTTTGCCAGACAGAGTTACTGAGGAGGGAACAAACACAGAAGCCTTTACTGCTGCTGCTCCACCAGAAAACCTTGTCCACATTCACAGGAAGTACACTGAACAGTGAACAAAACAGACCACCAGGTCAGGGGCTTTGAAGAAAATCACTGATCTCTCATTAAATATGATATAGCAAATATGTAGTGTTAAAGCTTTCCTCAAGGAAAACTGTTCAGTTACCTAACACCCTTTTAACACCTGAATTGAAGTTTTTCCTTTCATGTGGCTGCCTAAAACTGAAGTTTTGATACCGTTCAAGGTTTCAGCCATTTTTCATTGCCAGTTGTCTCTTCTTCGCAATAGAACTGCATCTTCCCACACCATTTTGAAAGGTGAACCTGACACCTGTCTGCAATGCCATGGCCACACCATACTGTCAATGTTAACTATGGTATTTCAGAATTCTCTGTATTCTAATGTCTACCATGAGATGACCATTTCAACACAGTACTCTGGGTGTGCCCATAACTGCATACCTACCGGCATCTTCCAGAACTTAGAGGCCAAACCACTCACTTATAAGGGCAGAAACCAGAAATATTGACACAAGTTTACAAGATAAAAATGGGTGTGAGTTGGCAGTAAACTGAAAACGATTTCAGAAAGTGACATGCTAAAAAGTACTCTTGTCATAAAACAACCAAGAAGCCAACTCAAAGCACAAACAGCTGTTCAGAGCCTAGGAGAGAAAGTCAGACCTCCATCATAGGTGACACATGTCAGAATTCACACTACCAAAAAAAGGTGCTCTCCCCCTTCTCCTGGTCACAGGGGATTCATATGTATGCATGTGGCATTATCTTCACTAGAAGATAACAGCAGGAGATTAAAAGGTTTTGGCAACCATGACCTAAGAGTACAAACAGTGACACAAAGAAACACCAAGTAGACTGAAAATCACAGTGAGTGATAAGGAAAAAGCAGTATATAAAAGGTGTATCTATTAACTTGGCAGGTACAATAGAAGACAAAGCTGTGCAAATATTGGATCACTTTTTGTTTCAAATAAATAGGTTCTCATGCATCTACACAGTTCTCATGCCAGGGAAGAGACACATCTGGAAGCCAAGGGATCATGCAATGAAACGCAGATGTGCTTAAACAACACTCATTTAATGGAAGTCTAAAGCATATAGCTTCCTAAACAGAGACAAGGGGTGACCACCTGGGGAAAATGTCTCTGAACATACTTATCAGTGATTACAATTTCATAAGAACGCGTGTGTTCAGCTTTTGTTTGTTATTCTTTTTTAACATACTTTGAAAGTGGAAGAAGTATTTCAACAGTCTCAGTTTTGTATCTGCATTTCATACTCCCCTAGAGAAATATTTGTTCTGGTACAATCAACCAATTACAACAACTAACAGAAAGTTTTCTCCTGCTTGTAATTTTTCAAGAAATAGCACAAACAGACACAAAACCATATTACAGCATAGATGGAGCTGCAAAAAAGCAATGAGAAAAAAAGCTCAAAGAAAAGCACCTTGCCTGTTTGCAATAAATAGATGAATGAAATTAAGATGCTGCTTCTTTGTCAGCCAATAATTGATCTTTATAGTTTCTCCTTGTTTAAGTATGTCATTAATAGCTTTCTAGAACAGTTATAAGATGTGTGTTAGCTCATATAACACAAAACCACTGTATGTGCATGGGGAAATTGCTATTCTAAGCATACCCTTGTGTGAAATAAAATTTAAATAAATAAATAAGCAAGCAAACAAAGAAAAACTGCACCCTAGCCCCAAAAGGAGATTATTTTCCTTTTTGAGACAAATAGCCTAGTCTATATACTAAACAAACACCTCCCTAGAAATGTGTAATTCAGATTTTTTTGAGATCCACAAAAAAAAAAATTCAATTAAACCAACACAGGGAGGAACAGAATCAAATAAATGAATCGGAAGATCTTTTATTACTTTTTAATCGGTTACTCCTATGAGGACTAAGCTAAACTTCAGCTTCACCTGTGTCTTAATCTTTCACAAAGCAAATTTTGAAAGGCATCCTCCCCGTTGTAATCTACATGCGCCTTGAGGTAAATACCCAGTTGTCTGCAGCATCCCTGCACCACCAGTACCTGAGGTAACTTACCACCCCCAATGGTTATCTTTACAGCACTTTCAGCTCCTACCTGTCTGAGTGAACCCTGATTTGTATCCATTAGCTGATCCACCCTCTGGGGTCGTGGACGGTGACACCGAAGGATTTGGTTTAGCAGAGAGGCTAGCAGCAGATGATTGCCTGCTTCTACATTCTGCAAACGAAGCAGCTACAGTACATATTAACAAGGCCTGCCTTCCAGAAAGAAAGTTCAGCAACACGGTGGTGAAAGGCGACAAAATGTTAAAAGCAAAACATACAGCACGTACAACAAACAGCAGCAAATGGCAGCATTCAACGAAAATATGGCTCTCGCAGTTTAGTCAACTTTGTCTTCTAATTAACACAACTTCCCTGGGGGCCACTCAGAGGGCCAGGCAAATACAGACCAGATGCTGCAAAATGGCAAGAGCCCTCGGTTTGCAGCTTCCAAGAGATTTGAAGATACTGGACATATCCCAGGAAACACTCAGCGGCTTCTGTGGCACAACCTTTATACAAACCATCATATGTTGTCCTTTAAAAGGAGAAATTGTGCTGAAACCCAGATTCTTAGTATGCCTCTACAAAACCTTCAGGCAGATCTCAGGGCTGGGAGTGTCTGTCTGGATGAAAACTGAGTTGAGGGAGGAGAAAGGCACCTTAAAAATCACAAATTAATCCATTTTTAAAACTGAGATCCAATCAGGTTTCATTTGAAGAAAAGGGAGTGTTTAAAAGCACTCCTCTTCTTCTGATTAGACCTTTAATGTAAGTAAAGGGGGGGAGGTTTACCAGATGGATGGTAGCAATAGGGGGATAGAGTCTATCAAAAAAATGCCCATGAGGTCAATTCTTGGACAACTTTCTAAACTTTCATGGGTCCTCACAACACTTGTAATCAGCTTATAACCAAAAGGAACCCCAGCATCTGCCTCATTACTCTTGATTGCTTTTACCAGGCCAACCTCAACTGCATGAGCACCAGGGAGGGGCTTCAGGAAAACGATTCCAAAAGTACAATAAGGTTTCCTTTTTCTGCATCTGGAACTTCACTACCAAATTAAATCTTTCTGTAGTTTTTGTGAAAAATGATGCTGAAATACACATCTACTCTAAAGCTGTAGTTAATCATACCAGTAAGTGAGAAAAGCCAGGATCCCTTTGAACCACTAACTGATACAATACTATAATCACTCATATAGCTCAGTGATAACCATCTCTTTCTGGTGTCACGCTGCTGTTCACATAAGGATGTGACTCTTCAGATGTGTGTCAGTCCTCCTGTGGAGCTTCTCCTTTTCTCACATCATCCTCTTTGGAACAACAGGCACCAAACCAAACTCTGTCTTTACTGAGTGAAACCACAGCTGAGGAAGACAGGCTCTCTGCATATACACCATCTTAGTAGACAGTGAGTAGGTAAACCATTCCCTCCATGAGTCTTTGCATGGCTCTAGCTCCAAAACCCTGCATCCTCCAATACAGACCCCATGGCTACCTTGCAATTGGGTCACAAATGTAATCTCTTTAGCACATAACAATATTGCACAGGCTGCTCCACTAGAGGCTAAGCCAAAGTGTAAAACACACTATAAATGGCAATAATATGCAAGATTTCTCCTCTTTCATGAGCTTTCTTAATCTTATAGTGTGCCAGCTATCCTCAGGCATTAGACAGATTGAATTGCACCTGCTAAAATGAGTATCAGTGGAAAGCCAATGTTGGAGCCCTGGCCGTGAGTCATCTTGCTTCAGGCACAGAAAAGAATCAGCAGACTGAGCAACCTTATTTCTTCTACCAAGATGGCTGCACATCTGAAGATGGGCAGATTTAGGACTCCTACTGAAAGTATGGGGAAATGGGGAGGGCTATTTACAATTGCATGCTTACTATTAAGACCTCTTTGGCAAAATCTAGACTTTAGTGAAATCAGTAGGGATTTTTCCTTCAAGCTATAACGGAAGGCATCTTCTACAGTTCCTTTTGATGCAAACATTTGCAACAGCAACTTTCAATTTTTCATTCAGCATCACACTAATATAATAAAACCCCCACAAGTGAATGGGCCTCTTTATTACCTTTCCAGCAAATTAGGGGTCCCTTTGACAGTACACCTTGGGAGCTTCTTACTAGGTAGTACTTTAAGTGCTTCTGCTTCTTTGGCTGAGTGGTTAATTTCAGGTTGATATGATTAGAAAACTCTGTGAAGTACCGAAATCCTCTTTCTCCACAGCCTATACAATTCCCAGAAAATCCTGGAAGAATGAAGCAGAAGATATACACAGATTAAATGACTGCTACTATCTGCAAAGAATAAGGCTATTTTAACCTACCTGCATATCCAGTTCAGAGCTACTGGAGGCCTTCAGCCAGACAGCTTCTGTGGATGCCCTGCACAGCACATGTGTGTCAGGAAGCAGCCAAACACAGTCAGATTTTAGTCTTAGCTTTTCTGAAACTTTTCCATCTTTTTAGGTCATATTAGCGTATGCCAAAATCCTACCACCAATTTTCTACTTTACGGAGTGTAGAAAGGAATAACTACTCATCAGGGGGAGAACTATGATGCCAAACTAGGAAATTTCCATAAGGAAAAAAAAATATAATTCCTTTTTTCTACATTTAAAAACCCATGAGCACCAAGCTGCACGCATCTCTCTCTCAAAACAGTGGCTAATCCACAATAAAAACTTCATGTGACTAAAATGAACCTTAATGGTAATATATTTTCACTGAGACTCATTTTTACAAAGCACTTTCCAAGAGAGCTGGACCTTACAAGCTCCTTAAAGTCTTAAAAGCAATCATTTGATGTCAAGATTTTCATGGCAAAAGTTAGGAGTGCTTCAGAATGTTATTAAAAACCTACAATCTCTCATGAAAGTAACAGATTCAGGAATAAAGTCTGCTTTTCTGCAATGTTTCCAACATGGTTCCACAGAGCTGAGTTGAGGTCTGGAAGATAGGGTTCAGACTAAGGATTACAAGCACTCTTGATTTCCAGTGCCATTCACAACCATGCTAATGGGAATGTTGCATGTAGATGGCAGCGGTCTGTCATCTCCTAGAACAAAGCACAGGCCATGTTCTGAAATGGGCCTGCCTTAAAATCCTTCTTGTTTGAATAAGCCCTCTATTATCTATTGCTGAACAGTTAAACTCTTCTGCTTACTTGCCGCTCCACTCATCTCTGAATTGCTTTCAACCCTTAATGAAGAAATACTTTATATTCTTCCTGGAACATGGATAATTATTTATAATAGGGCTGGACAGATTAATACCAAGTAGAAATGCTCTAATTTTGTGGTTGTTTGGGATGTTTTTCCCCATTTACTGATCAGTTGAAGATCTGTAATAGAACCAATTTTCATCCTTACGACCATCATTATTTTCCACAATGCCAAGCACCGTGGAGAACACTGGTTTCTACACTCACCTGACAACCAAGTTCATAGGTTTATGAAAAAAAAATATTCAGTCCTTTTGACACAATGCATTTTCTGCTGAACTCCTACTAATTAGGCCATTATCTTAGCCTTACTGTGCCTTGTTATCATCTTTTATAATCATGCTGCTGAGGATTCCAAGAAGTAGATTATTTCATCTTGTTTCTCCTGGAACTAAAACAGCCCTTGCCTTCTGCCTTGCAACCCACAGGAACTATTGGTGCTTCTCCATAGCTTTCAGAAACAACCATCAGGGCCTCACAGAGCTACCAAGACAATTCTTTGCCCACAGGTACCAGTCACACAAATAGAGACATTTAAACATGTGACATGAGCAATGTGAGAGCAGAGATGTCTCTAGGCTCATTACGAAATTATATCAGAGGTGATAGATGGACACAAGGCTGAGGGGTGGGGGGAAGAAGGCTTACCAACAAAGCCAAGTAGTACCACATTTAATCAGTCTAAACACCATCTGTCTTGTCTATCAGATAGTTCTTATTGATCAGCTCTTGACGCTTCCCCTGATCAGTGGGGGAGAAACTCCTCTGAGGATGACAGTACACATGAGATAACCCCATAAGCCCACATTTCCAACTATACCCAGCAAGGGCACATCACCCTGCAGCTCCTATTTAACTCAGGTCAGTGGGATTTCTGTCTTAGGTCCGAAGGTTTACAGCGTTTAGTAATGTATTAAATAGATTTAAGGGAGAAATAACATTAAAGCACGTAAGTACAAAAATGAGGTGTTTTCAATAGTTATGCTAAATATTGCTGGTCTGGACCAGAATTTGAGCAGTGTGGTTAAATCAGGGTATGTATGTTTTATTGTAATTTCTTCCCTGTTGAAAGGTCTTTCTGAATATATTCTAGGCTGCACAATGACTGAAGGAAGAAATGAGAGAGCAAATTCAAAACAGGCTTAAAGGAGCCAAAATATACTAAATCACTTTTACTAGCCTGTTAAAATGTGTACCAGTTGTGAGCCAGGCAGGAAACCTAAGTGCACATATGCCTGTCTTTAATCACCAAGAAGCATTCTTGTATTAAAATTTTAAAGCTCATAAATGTAATCAATTATGACGTAAATGTAGGGGTTTTTTCCCCACACACACACATTAGATTTTAGAGAAGTATTCGATTTTGAGAAGCAAACTGCCCTCAGAGCTCCTATTGAGAACAATGTTCCTGGTGGAGCCAAGGGCAGTGTTTGTCCCTTAATCTGCAGAAAAATAGATAGCTCATCTTCAACAGTTGCATGAGCCGATTTCTTCTTAAATGAAAATGCTGTAAGCATCAGCAGAGATAAAGAGTATATGAATAGTTCACATTTAGATTGCCAGGGCTACAATTGACTTCTGCCTACATAGAAATCACCAAGCTTCAATTGTGGTTAATTGTGGAATCAGGGACTTGTTTTAAAATGGGCTTTTAAGGCAGGCTCAGCTACAGATCTAAATTTAATAAAAACAAGCCTCTCCTCAACATATTTCTAACAGAAGGTCATTGGCTGAAATGACTTCAGATAATTTTGAGCTGACCTTTTTCTCTGAATTATTATGGCTTAAAGGAAAAGAAAAAAAAATATCTCTTACCTAAAAGTGCATTTTTTCCATGATCATCTGGCAAAAACCGCTTGTCAACAGCGCACACTAGAATGTGCTCAGGAAGGTTGGGAGATTTGGCTCCTACTAACAGGAAGCCTGCGGGGATATCAATTTGCTCCATGCACAGAGATACTAACCGTAAATCCTTGCCTGCTTGACAAAAACCTACAAAATAAACCAAAACAAATGATAAATCTTCAAAAGATTTCATTTCATTTTCTTCTTTTTATCAGTTACAGAAGCAAATGGGGCTTCACAACTTGATGCTGTAACTGGGGGGTTTAATACATCCTTTTCATGGGAAACAGAGGAAATTGAGATAGCATCTCACCAGATCCACTAGCTCAGATTTTCAGCCACAACAGAGAAACATTATTTTAAAGAGATCCTAAAGACATTCAAGCAGAGGAAAGATACCTCTAAAGACCAAACATCAAATAGCTCTGAAACTCAATTTTTCAAGAAACATTCAAAATAAGAAGGAAAGTTTTTGATTTTATAACAGAAAACAGCTCTTAAAACATGTAACTTTGCCAAGTTTTAGTTTACAGACTTTTCAAGAAAACCAATTTTGGTTTTGTTGCTTATAACAGGCTGGCATTTGTACACAAACATCACTAAGTAATACAAAGGAATGATAAAAATTGATGATTGAAGATTAGTATTGACTGCTAAAGGAAAAAATATTTTAGAATCCATTTTTTAACTTGTCTATACATTTTAAGAATTCCAGCAAGTAAAAGATTAATTCACTGGTTTTAGATATGTTTTCTGTAAGTCTCCAACTGTCTCTAGAAGTCTCAATTGACCGCATGACTTCAAGTCTCTGGTTAGGTTTTTTTCCCATTCAAATACACATATGCACACAAAATAAGAAGATAATGTCGGTTCTTGTGCTACTGGTCAATGTATGGCCAAAGCCAGCAGCAGAAGTTGGTAAAACTGGGGACTGGAGTGAGCTGCTGCTGTTCCATGTCCTGCAGCAAGCAGGTGGCAGGCTGAAACACACAAAAAAGCATGGCTGGGCACTGCAATGGCACACCTGGGAGCTCAGGACTCAAGGTGAGCACCAAGCATCCGTGGTGGAGATTTTCAAAGGGCTAGTTGGAACAGCTTAGAGCAATTATGGGACCTCTGGAGGTCCAGCTGGTCCAATCTTTTGCTCAAACCAAAGCCAGCTTGAAAGTTTGATTCTTTTGACTAAGTAAATTAACAACATTGTAAGACTCTTCCATTAGCTTCAACACTGGAAGCTAATGTGATTTTGCTTACAGGAATCAAAATCACCCGGCGCTTTTTTGTACAGCTCCATGATCCTATTTTAAGTGAGTAATTTGTACTTTCAAGCAAGGAAACAACAGGTGTGAGAGAAAGCAACATTCGTTTGGATTCTTCCACAGGAAAGGGTACGATCACATCAGGCTTTCTGACTTCCCTTAGGCAGAAGTCAATGAAAGCACTATCAAGTTTTATGAAGAACCAGACTCATATTGTGTTCCCCTCCAATTCTCTCTTTCCCAGCTGCAAGATCACTGCTACATTCTGGCCTCACACATCTCCCAGCAGCTGAACCCCCCACCCCCACTGCAGAATATCCAAAGACATCCCACATTTATCCATTGACCATCTCTGTTTTGCCACAACCATAGAACTATCATAACATAGAAAACACATGCACGAATCTGTATGAATCAGTATTTCAAATTAATGAAAATCATAATCACAATAATCAACATTATTGTTAAAAACATACCAAACTAAATGTGAAGTTATACCCATTAAGATTTCAGCTATTAATGTATATTACTTACACTTAATTTAAAATGTTATTCAAGTAGTCCATAGTTGCTACAGAAGTTGTAAGAAAAAAAAAATCAAACCATCTGGGAAAGACACTGACTAAGCACCTGGAAATACAACGTGATCACAGCTTAAACAAGAGCCAACTTAACCATCAGTAATACGCATGTCTGCACCCTTGGACTAAAACCCGTAGTTCAAAACTTCAGCAAAAACGGTGAAAGTTGTTTTTTGTTTTATCTCAAAACTGTACCAGGCAAAAAGCATGCACAAAGTGGAATGCAGAGAATCAGCTAGCATGAACTTCCTGGCAAGCAGCAGCTTGCTGAAAACAGGGTCTGATACAGGTTCAGGCTTGTGCCTACACCCACAGAACTAGTTTCTTCAGTTACTCAGTCAGCACAGTTCCAGCAACAGCTCATTTGAACTGAAAGCTCGCTTGGATTAGCCCCTCACACACACCTTCTTCCAGCACGTGAACTAAAATTAAGTGCCTTAAGCTTTTATTTACAGATCAGTGGATTATAACAATAATTGACCAATAAAAAGTTACATATCAAAATTTATTCTTTTCTGATTAGATGCAATTTCATTTTAGTGTATTAAACTTTTTAAAGTGTATTCCTTAGAAACATTGATCCTAACTGAATGGAAGGCTAGGTACCAGGCTAAGTATTATCTAGCCTTTTCAATGTAATTTAGAAACAAACAGTTGCAGATAGATCTAGGAACAAAATTCCCTTACCTTCAAAAGAGAATTTGCTTATTCAAATGTTTGTGTCATTTGGATATTACATTCAGAATTTTCAAAAGTGGCCTTAAATATTTAGGCATTCAGGGAAACCCGAGCAGCTGACAGAAAATACCGCTCTACATCTAGATTTAAAATAGAAAAATTACCCACTGCTGACAATGTTGGCAAACAGGAAATCTGTAGATAAGGATTATGAAATAGCAAGTGTGGTAAGATCTCAAAACAGATTTAAATCTGTGCATTCATTCACACAATTACTTTTTAGCCTTGTCTCTACCTAAAAATTTTCAGGAAATGCCCAGAAGCACAAATGGTGACCAGTAAGAGGCTTCTGAATGAATTGTTAGCAACAGCAATACTAGGACACCAAGGAAAGAAGGATTTTGGTTGTCAGCATTGTTAACAGTTAGGTTTCGATATAGACTTGCTTTCTGAAAGAGCACACAACATTGAGACGAAAGCAAAGACTTGGATATTATCCAGGTTAGAAGCAAAACAACTTCAGCTACACTTGGAGCAGCTGCAAATCACCAATCTGCATGAGTCCCCTGCAGAGAAGGTACAAGAAAACCACCATAACATCTTAATAAGTTTATAAGCATTATCAGTAACATCTTAGCAGTACCCAGTGCATCATTACCCTGAGCAGATACTGATGTATCTCAGTCTTATATGGGCACCAGGAGCCTCTTACCTGGGAGACTGTTGATGTGAATGTATTTAGTATTTCCTACCATTTAGGATATATAGGACTGTACTATAGAAATGTTATATCCTGCCTAATCTGGAAATAATACCTAAGATTTATCCCCTGTATTGTCTCTTACTCTCCCCAAAGTGCTCTCAGATCACTTCGTGTTCCCCTTCTTCCTCCTTGCGCAATCTCCTCTGGCATCCTCCTCTGCTTTGGCTGGCGACATCTCTGGATCAGAGACATGTATGTGCAGACTGGCTGGCCAGCATATGCCTCTGTAATGTTCAGGCTGTGTAAGAGGAGAGCTATAATTACTTTTCTGCCCCCAGGGACCCTAGTGTGGGGACTCCGATGTCATCCAACCAGCTCCTGAAATTCACAAACCTTGCTGAAATTCAGTACCTTGAGGTTTAATACCTCTCTGCCAGAAATAGCAGAAAGCAGCCACCAGCTTCCCAACAGACAGGCAGCAGAGCTCACAGGCAACTGCTGAAACTTTGCTTCCTGAAGGACTGAGGGAGACAAGTAACAGGGCTGGTACTAAAGGACTTCCTCAGACTCCCCTAGTGCAGAAGAGAAAGGGATCCCAATGGGTGAGCAGCAAGAGTGCAGGACAGACAGACCCTCAGATCCTCTGGGTGTTCTCTTATTTAGTCAACAGCAGCAAGAAGAGAGCTAAGGAAGGCTGCAGGGCTTAGCCAGTATGGCTGGAGCTCCCTTCCCCCAGGAGATATGGAGAGATTGCCAATCTGCTTCTGAGCAGTTTAAGTCTTGAATTTTCCTTTAAAGACATGCAGGTGGTATACTCAAGAGCCCTTCATTATCCTTCTTTCCCTTGGCTTTTGGGGCTAAAAATCACTCTTCTAGTTTTAAGTTCCTGATGCTTGTTTGAGCTCAATGAGAAAGTTCCACCCAAGAAACATTGATTTGGAAGGAAGTAGCTGGCTGTGGGGAGAGGAAGGAGGGATTAATCCCCTTCTCTCATTTTCTCTTTCCAGCTAGCAAGCACAGACAGACCAACCTTATTTTCTTTTCTGTTTTGCAAGACAAGACTTTGCATTGATATTATGTTAGCAATAACACTTTCCACATTAGGAAAGACAAGACATGATGTCTCTGTACAAGCAGAACTTGTGCTGCTCATGCTTAAGACTTAGAATATGCAAAATCCATTTACTTTTCATAGCTATTCATTTATAATTGAGCTTGCACCTAAATCTGTGTCAAGCAGCACTAACAGATACAACTCTTAAAAAAAAAGAATGGCACTTCAGTGTCGCATTTACCTGTGTACCTTCTAAAGACATCTAAGTATGAAGGGGAGAAAACTCTTGAGCCACTAAAAACAACTTCTCTTGACAAAATTGTTCACCAATATGTAATTATAAAAAGAAAATGCACAGAGCTGAGCTGTTCCATTGAAAAAATCATCTTCCCACAGCATCTCAGCTTTGTTTTCAATAAAGAACAGGCACTTATATTCTGATTAGAGAGTTGCAAATACCAAAAGCAGTCACAAAAAAAGAACACTGAATAGCTTTTATGGATTTTATCTGCATTTCTTGGAAAGAAAATTCATTAGTTTTTGCTTCTGAGTTAAGCACATTTACATTCTCCAACATCATTTCATTGAAATTAATCCAGTCAAGTCTTCCTGAAAATGAAAATATGCTCCCAGAACTGTCAACACCTAAAGTGCTGGAATCTTCTTAAAAATTAAATCTGGTTATATTTTACCTTCCCCCACAAGTAAGAAGACATAGTTCCAGTGTGGGGTACCAGGCCCTTGTTGTACTGCAGTAAATGAGGTGTTTGCATAAAGAATTAGCTTCCAAGAATTACATATGAATTACCAGTCACTGTCACTTGCTATTGTAACTTCACAGTAACTGATCAGGTGTTAAGTACCTGCTTACCTAATTGCTTTTGAAACTACTTTGGTTCTTCTTTAAGCATCAGGTAAATTGAGGATTTACTAACAAAGGAAAGGTGCTACTATTGTGTTTCCCACAGCTTGCATGAAATCCTATTCCACAAATTAGAAACAACCTCTTTTAAAGCTACAGCAAACAAGTGGTTCGGAACAGCTACTTGTGTTATTTGGTTGCATCTGAGTGTTATTTGGTATCTGAGGTACCTGTATCAAAATGAAGACTTTTTTTCCTTGAAACCTTGAAAGCCAAAAAAAAAAAAAAGCCCCTGAAAATAAGTGAATCTCTTTTATGACAAATAGTAAGGATCAATAGCAAATGCAGTTGCTCTTCCCAATGCGCTAGCAGGAGAGTTAAGGGATCTGATACTATGGCCAGCTGTGAAGGAGCCTCCAACAAACTGTTACTTGTGAGGCACTTATTCTTTTAACTGATGAATAAAGGCATTAAGATCTACTTTTTCTACACCCACGTGAGTGACGACTCAGCCATCTGAATAAAAGAACAAGTCACCACAGAAAATGATATGATGATTATGGCAGACATCCTGAATTCAGGAAAAGCAAACAGCACAAATACTTTAAAAGGGAAAAGTTTTCACCCATCTGTGCTAAAAGGTGAGAGGCAGGTTTTACAGCAAGTGGAGCTACAAACTGCAGGTTCTAGTACTCATATTTTGCTCTTGGATAAGCGATTAAATACGTGCTCAGTATTCAAATACACAGTGACTTCAATTACTCTACAAGTAATCTTTAACATTTTCTTAATGTTATTTACCTCTGTAATTAAATAACTAAGATAAGGGATGTAAACAAAGGCAGCAATCTTGTCTACATCTCTGGAAAAGCATATTAATGAGATGAAAGATGAGCTATCGGATTAATATCTTGCTGAGACACGGCCTGCAGCATGAATGATTGGAAACCTGGGTGGTTTAAACACTTATATAAAGCTGTCCTAACGGATCATTTGCAATATTTAAAAAAATGTATTCTCCTTTCCTTTTCCAGATACAAAACCACTTTTCTTCCAAATCAGTTCCCTGAGAACAACATTGAAGAACATGGAACAGTTTGCACGTGGATGGAAGGTCACCTCTCAAATACACAGACATCTATCTGAAAGCTCACAACTAGCATTTTTGTCTGGACGTGCAAGTGCAACCAGGGGTCACTAGAATGTGTGTGTGAGTCTGAGAAAGATCTCTTGATGTCATATAAAAAGCTATTTCGCAATCATATACATAGTTGCCTTGGAGCCAGATAAGGTTTTCAGTCCTACTCCTGCTACTGGCAGGCTGGTCCAGAACTGTGACACCAGCAATTAAAAAACACTAAAGCTTTAACCTGAATGCATTCATAAAGAATTTATTCATCCATTACACTTCTGCAGGGCCCCGTTGGCATGACCAGCTCTTCTCCCTCCTTAGTTTTTTTTATCCTTTGCAAATTTAAAAGGAATACTCCATCTCAGCTTCTGTCCTGGTAGGCAAAGAGCCTCATTAGGTAGAACTTCTTCCTCTTACCATCCTATTGGTTCTCCTCTGCATTCTGTCCAATTTATTTTACATTTCTTTAACAGAAGTGATCAGAACTGTTCCTGTTCTCCACAGGATATTGATACAGGATTGATTGATACTTGCCCTCAATAGACGATACCTTCCTAGCAAAACACAATTTTATGCTTTCTCCTCTCCTCCTACCAATTTACTAGCTTCCAAAGGATAGCAAACACATGTCTGTGTGAAAAACAAATTCCCCCAACAATATTCCCCAGCTTCCCATAACGCCAGGCTTTCTATTCTTTGTGCTACAGGGAACTGGCAGTACGTTGTTACAGAGGGTAAACATGCCCATGTAAGCTGCAAGGAAGGGGTAAAAACAAAAAAGTCAACATTTGCCACTTAGTACCTTCCAAAATGTCAAAGAATTACCAGTGACTAATGCTTACTTCTATCACTGCTACAGTAAGATTCAAAACCATTCTACAAATCATGGCTTTTTATGAACTCTGCACAAGGAAGCTCATAATTCCAGAAGGCATTGAATAAAATGTCAAGAAGGGCTTTTGGACCTGATGAGAAGGGTTGTTTGTTTCCAAGTGCTTGTGGGGGTGGAGGGTGTTTCTAAGAGAGCACATCTAATATGAATAGATCTTCCTTCTTTCAGGATGTTACATCTGCAGAATAGAACAATTATGGGATAAGATGAACAAATTATATCGAGGTCCAAATAGGTATGAACATAATGATCTGACCTTTTCTTTAATGCATTTAGAACCAAACAAAAACAGTATTGTCGATAATTTTGCTCATCTTGAACAACAGTCAGGACATCTCAGGATAAACAAACAATGGCCAGCAAGCAGATGGGGAAGACAAAACAAAGCTTCCACTAACATTCCTCTTATCTATTTGGCAGCAAAAGCAACACCAAGCTTCTCCATTTTCGCTCTTCAGAGTCTTCATTCTGCCCATGAAAGCAACTAAATCCAGCTTTGCCAGTGTTTCTGAGAATAATTATGGGATAGACTGAGAATCAGCTGTAGTGATGCCGACTTATGCAATTTCTTCGAGGCCAGTAAACCAATAAACTCAGAAAACAAGGTGCTTTCAGAAACTAATTAAGTGCCACAACCAGTCTTAGACACTGTCTTCAAATAATACATTACATTTTATGCCCTAAAAGAAGTCCTCTTACTCAGTATTTTCTCAGACATTGTCTATAAGCTGTATTTCCAGACTTCCTAGTTCAAGAGTTTCTAACTGTAGAGAGTGGGCATTATACTGAAAATTAATTGTAAAGATCACACCACAAAAAAATGGATACCAACCATCAGTAGTGCAAGACCCTTCTGGGGCAGGTTTTTGTGAATATGGGATTGGTGGACTACTTGAATCTGACATGTCTTCATCCTCCTCTTCATCTTCCATTTCATTAGCAGTTTGGTTGGTAGAAAAGTCCAGGTTTCCATTTTGTGAATAGCGATGTACTAACTCTTTATCCAGCTCTTCTACCTTTGGCTTCACATCTGAGAAGAATAAAAAAGAAAATCAACTTTTCACTTGAACAACATTTGCATCTCTCTCCTTTACAAAAATAACCAGCATGCCATTCTTTCTCCTTAGTGAAGCCCAAGATGCTGATTTAGTGTAACACAATGAACAGTTATCCAGTCTCCCTTTTTCTTTTTAAATGAAATGCATCCCACCCTTTTCTCGCACAGAAAAACAATTGAAATGTGCCATACTTTCATGGTTACCTTCCGGCAAGAAAGGAGGCTGGTCAGGATCCAGGTACAGCTGTGAGAAGATCGGCCGTGGGACCACGCTGCTACATCTCAGAGAAGCTTCTATAGAGTTATGAAGAGCTTCTTCAAAACGGGCAGATTTTAGTTGCCCTGCATATGAATTCCCCATGATCTAGAAACACAAAGAAAATAGCTGATAAGGGGATGAAAAAACGCATAAGCAGACAAATGAAGAGTAAGGTCTTACTAACATCCATCATGACAGTATATGAAGTTATTAAGAAAGTATGCTATGAAAATAACACCTCTAACTAGTACTACATGTTCACATTTCTCACTCAGTCTGGTAGACTGCACCTTCTCATTTCAATAACAGCTTTTAGCACATTTCCAACACACTGTCTACACAGCTTCTCAACAGCCTCAGGAGCCTGCCTGGTGTAGAATTTAATGGAGAATAGATAAAATCACTATTATTATATTTTTTAGGATTTTCAGAATTGCCTACTGAAGGGTGAGTACAACAGAAAATTAAAAACATCAAGTTTAGCTTCATTGTTGGTTGTCTAACAGTGTGTTTACGTGATTCTATTTGTTAGTATGTCATCATTTGCAGAGAAACAATACATAGAGATATCCAATAACTTGATTTTTGGCTCTTGCTAATATTAACTGAAATTATGTGAAAGGCCAGTTCTCTATCTTTTCAAGGTCTTCACATCTTGTCTTCAGAGTAACACTATGAATTACATGTAGTCTGATCCGCAGAATTCAAATGATCTAATCATACTCTTACAATAAATGATTTAAGTACCCCCCCCCCCCAAAAAAAAAAACCCAAATAAAAAGCAATCAAACTGTACACAGCAAATGCTGTGAAATTTTTCTATTTTAAATTATGCTTTATCCTAGTATGGTGATAACAATGTGCTTAAGGTAGGATTTCAGGAATGTATTCAAATGAAAAAAGTTTACTTAAAATACCATAATAAAAACTAATCAATCTTTAAAAATCAGAAAATTTTTAATTCCCACAGCACATCATTTGCCTGAAGTCTGTACATCCTCCATATCTTCCACAATCCATGTGTTATATACAACCTATTCCAACTACTTTCATAGGAAACTATTAATAAAATACATAATATGCACAGAGGAAAAACGCTGGTGAGCAGGCTATTTCATTTGCCTCTCTGGCAACCATACAAAATGACTTACTTGTGGATGGCAATCGGCACAGATTTACCTGAGAAAGTTGGTTAATATTAACAGGGGACATTTCTAGCTTGCCAAAAGAAAACAAAATTGCAATTGGAAATGCTAAGTAAAGGAAAGCTTAGAAACCGGCATGGAGGCGGGGTAGAAGGGAGGCGTGCTGGGGATGCGCTTGTGCAAGACAGGACAGGCGGAGGTACCAGAGAGCTGCGGGACCTGCTGGGCTGCGGCAGGGCAAGCTGGGAGCCCCGGAGACCAGCACCGGGGAGCCGGCACTGGGCAGCTGATTTCCTAACACTGCCTGAGGCCATTAGGGCAGCTGGGCCTCATTTGGAGTTGAAGGGAGCTAAGAGGGGGAGAGCAGGGGCAGGGGAAGCAGGAGGCTCTTCTTCTGCAGGGGACAGGAGCTGGACTGTTCGGGTTGTGCCATCCTGATGCAGCCTCCTAAAAGCACCAACTCAAAGTATTAATGCTTTAGTGTTTCCGCTTTTGATTCTACCTCTAAATGCCCGGTGCAATTAGGAAGGGCTTCGTTTTCTTCCTCCCAGGGTAAATGGGAGGCAGCTCCCACTTGAGTGCACCACAGCAGCAGCACAGGAGGCAGCAGCGGAATAATGTGCTTTAAAATTGCTCATGTGTGTGGAGGGGTGTTGAGGAGGCAGCAAAGAGGCTGGAGGAAAAGTAAGTTGGTGAAATTTGAACGGAAGCTAAAAAAAGAGAAAAAACATGTTTGTTGTTGTTAACACATGTACCCGCCATAAATGCATTTAAGTATGGCCAAACCCAACGATTTAATGTAACTAATCAATGCTCATTGTAAAAAAAAAAAATTATCCAAATAATAGGTCTATCCTACATTCCTCCATGAGGCCATTTGGTAAAAATAAACAAACAAAACCCTGTTACTTTGTAGAATGAAGTTAAGACAAGTTTTCCCTAAAATTCTGCACATCTGACATAGCGTCTGTGAGCTCAGGGGAATATGGGACAGGCGGTCCCAAGCTGAGTGCAGTTGAGACTATCTGACACAGTGTCTGAGTGAAAATGGAGCTGGACTTGACTGAGGAGCTCCTCCCCAGTCTCACACGCCTGTTTTTCTCCTGTCAACACTGATATGCCAGCTCTCACCCTCACCCCCACTGTCCTCTATCCATCCATGCTGCACCAAACTATGCCAGAGCCTACCTGCATGCGCTGAGAGGTTTCTAAGGGGCAGGAGGTTTGATTTGGGGGTAAATAATTCTTTCCACATCTACATGCACATTAATTGGAGCTAGCTCAGCACAGAGCTGGTTAAATTCCCAGAGATGAGCAGTTTGCACATCTGTAACACATTATTCCAACCCTCATCTTTCTTTTCACCTGCACTGTTGGGCAGCAGTGAAATTCACAATTTGCCTACTTCTCTTAACAACCTTTTGAACTCTGCTTTGGATTGGACTCTGCAGGATGTTACTATGTGCATTATGTGAAGTATATGTGTATAGTAAGATTTGCTGTTGTACATTCTACACACACACACACACCCCTTGCCGAGGAAGAAGATTCAGTTTGACAACAGCCACTCTTCAGGCTTTCCCTCTTTACCTCACTGTCTTTGCCACTCTGTTCAGTCCAAAGATTTTTATTCCATGTCTTTAAACCTTAGTACAGACAAACAATTAAAACTGAGTAATTTCAAAATGAAACCTGCAGCAAAACATGAAATGAGGAGGATTTCCAAGCATTCAGTCGCATGCACCTCCAGGCTCTGCCACTGTCAGGGTACTTCTCTGCAGATACTACGGCATCGTGTACTACTACCCAACGCATCTCCACTGCTGCTATGCTGCTTCAAAGCAGATTTCCTAAGCCTACTTCAAGTCTTCTTTGCAGTAGCCCATCACTGAACTGGAGGATTAACTGGGAGATTTGCTGGAGTTTGAGAGCTGCCTTAGGCCAAAGTTGGAAAGCAGCCCTCACATCTCAGTCTGCGTCCTTACAAAGACACATGAAAAAGGCAATAATGAAATTCCATTAACCTGACCACAAACGAGGGAGTATTAATACTATAGGTTTTAATAAAAAAATAAATATGGGCATTCATTAGGGAATAAAACCTACAGTTTCTGGGAGCTTCCATCAAAGTAGACAGAAATGGAAGTAATAAAAGCCAGATTTCAAAGATGGTTGATTTTAGCACCGCATCACTTAACTGTGCAGTGAAGGACCCAGGGAAATTCTGATCACTCTTTCAACCCCAGAAGCTGAACTTACAAGGAAGTCTTGTTAACTCAAGCAAATAATCTTGTCCCAGGCGGTCATCCAGGTTTCAAAAGATCTGTGCAGAAACATGACACTGAATGTTCAAGAAGAGCCAAAGCCCAGGCCCAGCAGTGTGTAAGTACAGTAAACATTACCCACTTTTAGTCAGAAAAATGGTACTATGGTACTTGACATACCAAAAAAAAGTAACCCCTGAAAAGTGGATTGTTACTCAATAGCTCTTGGGAGCTAGAACTGCACATTGAGTTGAAGCCTCTGCTAGTAAAAATATAATCAGATCATTCAGTACACCAGATACCACGTATTTGGCCTCCAGGTAGGTCATGACCCCAGAGACTTTAAAGGAGAGGAACTGAACAGGAGGATGAGGGAGGGGGTGAGTGTTGTTGTTATGGCTTAAAGCAATTTCACAATTACCTGATAGCGAATGATGAATCTGATGCAAACACCCTCCATTAAGTCGGCTCTATCAAGTCCTTACTTTGTGTTTAACCTAATGATGTAATTGTGTTCTCCAAAACACATAATCTGGCTTCTGATCTGGCCTAACCCCACAGGAAAGTTTCTCTTCAAAGGAAAAGAAAGCAAGTTCCTTCACAAGGAACAAAAAGCAAGTTCCTGCCAGGCTCAGCACAGCTTCTGTATCTCAAAGGGTTATCTTAGGCAAAGAGAGACCAGGCATCTATTTATGCTGCAGAATTGTTTGGGAACTGGTTGTTTCAGCTACAGCTAGCATTTTCTATTATTTACGTCACTCTTATTGATGTTCTGAGGGTATTATTTTTTCCCATTAGAGCATCATTAGGATGCATTATGAACATGTATACAGCAGAAAGGATGACAATTGATAATGACGATAACAAATATATATACTAATTAAAAGTGTAGACTTTGAAGTCAAAAATATATATCCAGCATTAACTGTAGCATTCAGTGGGGAAAGACTTATGTGAGTCAATACAAGATGGCAACGCAGGGTAGTCTCATTAACAGATCCCTTATCTCATAACCTTTGTAAGATCCCTTTTTCCCCCCACAGCCCTTTCAAGATCCTGAGATACTCGCCCTGCTTTTGTCTTGGTTAAGAATATTCAAATTCAACTGTAAAAGAGTTCACAATCTTACGTAGCAAGTAGTAGATAAATAATTCATTCACAAAGTCTTTCAGGAAAAAAGAATGGTTAGTTTGTATTGACCCAGTTTACAGTGGAGTTTTCTTTCATTTCTATTTTTTATTTTCTTTTAAAGAAAGTACAGCTAGCATCCAATATTGCTAAAATCTAGTCTTTCGGTCTGATGCTGCCACTACTGTGTCAGAGGAATGGGAAAAATCGAGATCGCCTTTTTTTCCTGACAAGGTTTTTCCTCTTATTGCATAATTAATAGTATTTGTACTTGGAGTACTGCATCAGATTACCTGTGATTTGGACAATTCATTGAACAGAGAAAGACAAATGGATACACAGCAGAGCTACATGCAGGATGGTGCAATAGGGCAGCTGTTTCCCCACAGTGAGAAACAGAAAGCAAATCACAAGTGGTGCTTAATATGGAGGCTGCTATGTCCTTACTGCTCCATCTCTTCCACCTTAAGACTATCCCCACTGTCTTCAGGCACAGTTCACAAAACAATAAACATACTAAAGATAAAATTCACACCTGAATTCAAGATGGTGTTAGTAAGTTGAAC